TTTGGAGGCAGCGCAGCATCTCTCAGATCTTTTAAGAGATTGGGATGATTTTGTCCACTTTCATCGCGGGTACTGTAACCATTGGTTAGTGCAAAAGAACCGCATGGTTCCCATTCGAGGCATTGAAGCATTCTGAAAACATCTATGGTGAGGTCTGTAAATTTGATCTGAGTGGAACAAACATAGCGAGGCAACTCCTCATTATTTTTGTTGTGTTAAAAACAGAAAAAAAGAGAAGGTGAGACAGAGGAAGCATTACCCTACCTCGTTTTGATAGTAGCTGCATAGCATGGCATCATTTAAGACCAGACCTCGCTTCTTGACAGTAGGTGGGACGGTAGGAAGAGTATCAGGGGGAGGATCAAATGCGTAGCTGTACCTGAGTGGTCTCATGTTGATAAAGGGGGAGTCAGCTCTGAGAAACCTCGCGATTTCTTGGACGACGTGCTTCCACTCCTTGTAGTCGGCTTCCTGCAAGCAAGCAAGATGAGAAGGCCGAGCAAGATTTGATGTGGGATCAAAGAAGCAGTGGAATCGAATCGAATCATAGATACTTGGAGGGTCTTCTTGGAGTCGTCGAGGAGCGTGCGGATGTGGGTGGTGAGGCGAGGGACAGTGTCGGCGCGCCTGGCGAGTAGAAGCGCAACGAGGAGGAACCTGGCGAGGAAGCGGAGGTGCTTGGTGGGGGCAAAGAGATGGTCGGCGGCGTCGGCGAGGAAGTAGCCGCGGTCGAGGACGGCGTGGTAGAAGACGAAGGCCTCGGAGAGGAGGGCGGTGTCCGAGGTGCGCTGGTACTGGGAGTAGTAGAGGTGAGCGATGCGGGCGGCGATCTCACCGACCTGCCATCGGCGGAGCCCGGCGTCGAGGAGGCGGTGACGGTGCTCCTGCTGCATGCGCCACAGCTGGGTGTAGATGCGGAAGACCTTGCCGTATTCATCGGGCTCCCGGCGGCCGAAGAGGGGGAGGTCGCGCACGCGGGCGAAGCGCCGGTCTGCCTTGTCCAGCAGCGACCAGAACTGCTCGGCCGTCCCGCCACCGCCGCCGCCGCCGCCACCTGCTTGGGCTTGGGATTGGGGTTGGGGAGCTACAACTTGGTGCGGCGACGACGCCATGGCGAATCCAATGGGTCCTCCCCCCTCTTCCTTTTTGGTCTCCTCTCCTCTTGTGCCTTTCTCAACCGTCCAGACCCAAGCCCATAGTTCATTTCAGCCCTGTCCACGGCCCACTAAGGCACGGTCTAGATTCCAACTTTTTTCTTCAAACTTCTAACTTTTCCGTCGCATCGAACTTTCCTGCACACAAACTTTCAACTTTTCCGTCACATCGTTCCAATTTCTTCAAACTTTCAATTTTAGTATGGAACTAAACACAGCCTAAGTGTAGTTAATGTTAATTCTCTCTTCTCTCATAAAATCATATCACCTCAATTGTTTTTAGATTCATCTTTTTGGATGATCCATCAAGGGTAGAAATTGCATCTCTTCCCCCAAAGACACACCATACAACCCAATCATTTATAACCTTTAGATAATTGATAAAGGTACAAAAATATATATACGCATAAACACATAAAAAATCGTATAGTAGGTAATAAAGAAAATTTTATAACTCATATCTCTTATATTATCATACAATTCTCCCGCAGCAACGCACGGAGTACCGATCTAGTTTTTCTTTGTACTAGTACTAATAGTACGTTTATTAAAGTCCTCCTCCCCACCTTAGAGCATCTCCTATAGACTAAGTCCCTAAACAGATTTTTGGGTTGAAGGGAGAAAAATCGAGGTCCAGCATTGCACTTAGAGCATCACCCAGAGATTACGTATAATCTCCCTCCAAAAATTAGTTTTTGGTTTTCCTAAACTGAAAATAGGTAGCTAAAAAACTGATCTCTCAAAGAGAAAACCTAAATTTTATCCCCAAAATTAAAAGTGGGCCTCTACTAAACTATCAACACATTCTCCCATGTTCCTCTCTCTCGTGCGCATGTGGAAGGAGTGGCACTACCTCCTAGCGCGAGATTGGGGATGGATGAGGGTGTCGGTTTTTACCTTTTCCCGTATATCAACATAGCATATTTTTCGGGGAAGGGACTCCAAAAAACATGCAAGGGAGTAGAGGATCTGTTAGAGTGTTTTTTCCACTAAAATCCCTTAAATTAGTTTTAGGATAAAATAGAAGTACGTTGGTGATGCTCTTATTAAAGAGCGCAAAATAGGAAGGAACCCAAATCCCTTTCCCTAGCCCCCAATCATGGGTCTCTACACTAGCCCCCATCTATTTTTTTTGGCACGGGTGAAAAATCTCTAGCATGCACTTCTCCTGTCGTTTTCACGCCCTCACACACCGCCACTGCCCTTCTCCTTTGTCGCACTGTCGGACATCGTCTGACCATCTTACCGTTCATGTTTGTAGAATATGTTGTTTTTAAGTTATATAATGCTTGTGAACTAGCATATGTGTGTGATTGTGGAAATTGAATTTTATTATGCATTTTGCAATGTTGAAAAAATTGAATTTAAATTTAAACCGTGATCTTCAAAATTGTAAATTTGAATATGGTTGAATTCTACGTGTTTGAAATATTTATATTTGAATTATTCTGGTGTTAAAATAGGTATAAATATAGTGTGTATACTAAAATAATAAAGAGAAAGATAATTGGGGCCTAAGAAATAGGAGTTATTGCTAAAATTTAAGTCATTTTTTGGGATCCTCGGAAAATGGAAGCAGCCCCAATTAGGTCTAGGGGCTTTGCAATAGGAGATGCTCTTACCAAACCACCCTATCTCTCCCACGCTATCGTCCCCTCCCAAATTAACCGACCAATAAAACCATTAAACAAAAACTAAACCGTACAAAAACATTCTATCATATTATTTTTTTTACAGTAAAGAGGGAGCTTCACATGTTCTTTCTAATCCCATTACAACGCAAAGACATTAACGGCGAGTTGTCTTGGATTATTATTAATGTCATGTAGAGTAAAACAAGATGAGTTATTAATGCATGAATAATTTAATATTAGTTATTACAAACTTAAAAATGGGTCTGTTTGATTTTTTTTAAGAAAACTTTTATATAAAAAGTATTTAAAAAACACACCATTTAATAGTTTAGAAAGTATGCTCACAGTAAACACGGGAATAGCAAAATCCAAGCTCACTTTCAAACTCGCGTAATGGCAATGGCATAGAAACGGATGTAAAATTCCACCAAATGGCAAATACGGAATAGAAAATTTTTAATGACATATAAGAAAACATGTGGACTTTGAGTGATAAATAAGGAATAAATTTGCTCGAAGGGATATGGAGGTATATCGATGTAGGGTTTAGAAGCATCGGGAGATCGGCAGGTAGGAGGGACGTAGTTGGCGGCATGTGTCATAGGGGCTAACCCACAGGAGTGAGAACCCCTCCCCGTGAGAATGGAGATTCGTCCAGCGGGTTTGTCAGCACCTGGACGGTGGTCGTGCCGAGATGGCATGAAGGAAGTCGCGAGGATGGAGGCGAGTGAGTACGCAAGAGAGCCCGCGGCAGGAGGATGAAGATGTTTATACAGGTTCAGGCCACCGCGAGGTGTAATACCCTACTCCTGTGTTCTGGCTTTCACTAACTCCCCTAGGTCGGCGACCGGATGGAAGTCCAGCTGACGAAGTACGAGACCGACTCTTTTCCCTAAGGGAGGAGTTACAAGCAATATGAGGCGATGTCTAAGGCCTTGAGAAATTAACCGACCAAAGACCCCTTTAACGGGGCTAGTCCCCTCCTTTTATAGCACAAGGAGGTGCTCACAATATTACCTAACTACCCTTGAATATGTCACATCGAATATCTTGTCTTATGCCATCTGACTCCTCGGTCGTGCTCCTCAAGAAACCCTTCAAGTCCTCAGTCAGAAGTGGTTGGACTATCCTCCACCTCACACACCACGTGGTGTGAGGTGGGCCTGGTGAGGCCCGGGCTCTGTTTTGCCGGACACGGTACCCCCTCCCTTGCCTGGCATAGGGAAGGTGTCTTCGGGCAGGTGCGACGCATGTCTCGGGCAACACCGGCCCTAGTTTTTTGGGGTGCAAGTCACGTCGAAGTTTCTCCGTCATAAGACGGAGAGATATCTTCCATAAGCTTGGCCTCGAATGGGGTGCAGCGCCTTACAGCTATCCGTAAGACTTTACGCCTCCTGTCCAGACTTGGGGTCACATCCCTGACATCTTTGAAGGCGGTAGTTAGGATATTTCTAGCGTACCTTACTGAGGAAGGTATAACCGGACGAATATCTCTGTGTTACTTCCTTGGTAAGCCTCAGAACCCTTTTCTTCGAAGAGAAGGAGGAGGAGATCTTACCGGGGTCTTCGGCAGCCCGGGCCCAGCCATGTGAGGCCTACGGCTGCCTAGGCCACGTAACTTAACGAGAAGGTGTCCTTGTTAGACAGAGACCGAGAGAGGTGACGAGAAAGGAAGAGAGAGACAGAGAATGTTGACTCCTGCGGACGGGCAGAGCTCGTTCTTGGGCCCACAGAGAGCCCGGGACCTAAGCCCTTTACTATCCGAGCCATCCTCTCGGCTCCTCCGCTGGACGCATACTTGGGGGCCAAGGCAGCCCCCGAGCGTTCGTGAGGCGGTCCCAGGCTCCTAAGGTCGGGCCCTGCGACCGCATCTCGCCATTCCCATTTCTCTTCGGAATTTCTTTAGTACTTGGGGTTTGTTTGGCATAGCTCCAGCTCCAGCTCCTGGAGCTGGAGCTCAGCCAAACAGTTTCAGCTGCACCAAAACTGGGAGTGGAGCTGGTTGGAGCTCTCTCACAAAATGAACTAGAGTTGTGGAGCTGGATTTAGGCAGCTCCATAACTCCACTCCAGACCTAACTCCTGGAGCTAAATTTAGGAGTTGGAGCTGTACTAAACAGGCCCTTGGTTAATTGTTTTGACGGGGAAATGGGGACCCCCATTCCCATTTCGTCGATAGTGTGGTCCATGGTATACTCGCTGGTCTCGGCCACCTAGGCCTTCGCGTAGCTCGTGTGCACGAAATAGGCCTCCGCCGCCACTACCTCTGATGCTGATTCTCCTGCCTCAACTAACACCGTCACGTTGCGCTGCTCATACATGCCAAGGTGAGTGCCCTGCAAATGCAATTCCAAATCAATGCATCTAGCCATGTAGGTGGCCATCGAGGAATATATGTATATGCATATGTACCTTGAGGGCATCGAGGTCGACCTGGACGCAGGGTGACACTACGCAGAGCTCGCCGATGACGAGATGGTCGTCGGAGGATGAACTCCTTGGAAGGATGGGGAGGAGGAAGGGTACAAAGTAGGTCCCCACGACAAGCAAGGCTGGGGCGGCGGTGGAGGTGGCGCTAGCCAAGGGGGAACCGGAGGAGGTGAGGAGAGGGTGATTGGGGAAACCGCGCTTCAGGCTACCGTCTCCTCCCCCTCCATTGCTGCATTAATTTTAGCCACACTTTGGCTCCTCGGTCCTCACAAATATGCTCACAAATATGATGTGACAGTAATATGAATATGGACACATGTATGTCCAGATTCGTAGTACTCAGTATTAGGTTGGTTTATATGGGACGGAGAGAGTACATCGCAGAGCTATATAGAAATTATTGCCATGTCAAAAATACATCATCAAATATGGCAACAAAATAAATAAGCCATTAATAACAATATGTTAACTAGTAATATGTTCGTGCTAAATGCTACGGTGCAATTCTTTTTGTCTTTAATAACCTTTAAATTTTCATGTTAGGAAAAAATATTTTTCTATGATACGTGCAATTGAGTTTTATTTCAATTCATATCATACATCAAATATGTTTCACGCAAAGTACAATAATATGATCCTGCATGGGTATCACCGGCACACATACATCACCACACATGCAACACCATACTCACCCCACGGATGTTTCACCTAACACACGCTAGAACCAGCCATACATTCCTAATCTCACTAAATTCCTATTGAAAACCTAATTGCATAGACGTAATATTTGTGGACTTTTTTTTTCTTTAATGACTTCAAACTAGGAATTTTGCAAGAAAACGCACAATTTAAATTGATATGTTTTTTCTATGTCCATCCAAGTAGGAAGCTATTTTCCACCCTGATTTATGTAGAAATTTATAGTGAAAAGATATATAATACTTCCTTGGTTTTATATTATAAGTTTAGATTTTTTTTTCATAGCTAAACTTTTTTTATTTTGACCCGTTTATAAAGAAAATTTTAGCATCTATAATGTCAAATTAGTTTCATTAAATATGATAATGATAATGTGTCTATTTTGTATTAAAAATATTATTATATATTTTTTATAAATTTGAAAAAAAATAATTAAGAAAAAGTTAAAACGAGTTACTATAATATATATAAGAGAGAGAGAGGAGATCGGCCGGAACCGGAAGGGAGAGGGGAGTAGACAGACGGGGACAGATCAGAGTCAGGCATGGCCATGGCTGCCGCCGGCGACGAGGCGGAGATGGTCGAGGTGACGCTGCGCGCCGTCGGCCCGTCCCGTCCCACCACCCTTCGCCTCCCTCCGTTTATCTCGGTAACAAACCACCCGACCCACCCCTAATTCAGAAATCCTTCCTCCTTACTGCTCCCCGGCCCCTCCCCGCCCCTAGGTTGCCGATCTGCGCCGCCACATCGCTCACGACCGACATCTCCCACAAGACCGCCTCCGCCTGGTCCTGCGAGGAAGGAATCTCCCGTGCCAAGACGACGCCCATGTCAACCTCCGCCACGGGGGTATAGTATACTAGTATTCTTTTTCTTTCTCTTCACATACATCTTATGTGGAAGACAGGACTATTCTAGGATGGATGGTTAATTCGTTGTCTCTTCAAGACCCTACTTTTTTTCTTCTTCTTCTGCACTTGATACATCTTGTGGAATACAGTTAAATACTTCCTTCCTTCTGCAATTTCTTTAGATAGTCTTATAGTGGCCGTGGCACCTAAGCCACCTGCTAATCATCTCCGTGACGGTGATGGTGACGATGACGATGATGAAGAGGAAGAGCTGGTATATTTCTATCATAGTATGTCATATAGCTTTTATATTTTGAGGATGTTTATGTTTTCCTCATAAGAATTATCTCTCCCATCCTGTAGAAGTTCAAAATACCAGAAACAACCACCTGGTGGAAGAGAAAATTTTTTATATTTCTTCGAGACAAATTGAGATTACCTGGTAATTTAGCTTTAGATTATGCACCTCTATTTTCTGATTACATGATAGCGTTGATTAATGTGGTGTGCATTTTGCTTCTCCAGATATCTTGTTGATGGTGCTATTTTCTCTGGGTATCAAAGCATGGGTTCTTATCGCTATGTGGTTCCTTTTTGCACCTATTGCTCAAATGTACGACGTTGGACCTTTATTTGTAAGTAACTTTGGGAATACAACTTCTCCAGCAATGTCCATATGAACCCACTGTTCTCTTGTCTCCACTACTCATTTTTCTCATAGAGATATGTGTGAAAAAAATGGTGTGGTTTAAAGAAGTATCAAATTAATAATGTCCGATCAGCATAACTACTGTCTCATCATGTTCTCTCTTACTCTACCTAAACGAGTCCTTGACATTTTGAATTCGAATGTACCACACGCTGATACTCATCTAGTAACTTATACCACAACACTCATCTACTTGGGTTTTTCTATGACATATTCTGAGACTCGTGTATTTAGAAGGAATAACAGACTGTTTTGCATTACTACTTGCATCATGATAGCATTATTATATTGCACATCATTTTTTACCTATTTGGGTGACTAGGGTGGTGGAGAGCATCAGCTCAGAGCCTAAGAGAACTGTATTGTACTGAGGACATGTCCTTGCCCTACAAAAGGCAATGGCCTATGGCCAACTTGTCCATCCTATGAAGAAAATGAGAGGATGGAGATAGTCGGTACAGAGAGAAGCTTTGGACAGGACAGAGTAGAACCATTTACACTTTGCATGCACTTCTTTTTTTCCTGTGATTATGTCCAATCAAGGGGAAATGAATTGAGAAGGAAACATTGCACACAACTCAAAACAAAATGAGCAGTGTGCTCATCATGACACTGAGGTACATATTGGAACTCAAAGCATACACAGAAATGGTAACTGAAGAATTGGACATATCAGTTTCTAGCTAGCTACAGCCAGGGGAATACTTTGGGCCTCGCAGGGAGCCCAGGAATCAGTAGTCTCTAGATCACTCCATGTGGTTTTATCTTACATGTATAAGTCTTCAATTTATACAACCATACAAATCTTGTATCCCTATCCCATTCTTCATTTCTTTGGTCTAGTTTATAGGTTTTTCTGGAATTGTGATGCTAATGCTAGTTTGTCTGTAGAAATTTTGATGACCAAACTAATTTTAGCTAATTGAATTTGTTGCTAGATTCAGTTTACTGATAAACGCCACTATATTATCCAGATACTTGGTACAGGCTTCTTGGTCATTCTTTGTAATCTTGGAAGACGACAGCAAGGTGATGTCAGGTATGTTATCTCATCTCTTCAATCTACATTGCTTGTGTTGTCTAGAGTGAAAACTTGGTTTTGTTCCAAACAAACAAACATTGTTAACATTGTGTTCTTCTATGCCATAGTACAACTTATCTTTATTCTCTTAGAAATCTACTTTACGTCATATGAAATGGTAAGATAATTACCAACTGATTGCTTGTCTTTGATTTCAATGGTTGGTGAATGTTTCCCATCTAGAATATGCTCCGTTCTATAAGATGTATGTCTTGATTCCCTGTGTCATACAATACATAGTCCATTGTGTCGTAGGATGCTTAGTTTTACAGCACAAGTGCTCTGAGGGTGTTAGAAGTGTAGTGATTGTGTAACTGATGTAATAGTTTCACGTAACTCTGTATATCATAATGTTATTTGTCAAACTTTTTGGCTTCTAAGGGGAAGAATAACAATAATTCAATTATTATATATACTGGGATGTCATGTTGATTAACAAACTGGTGTTTATCTAGTAAGAACCTGGAGAGCAAAATTGGCATGGACACGAAGTTGCTCACTTTTTGCCCCTGTTGACGTTAAATTTGTTATACTTACACGCAGTGCATACTCCATATTTAATGAAGACTTCCGGGAGCTACCAGGAACGCTTAACGCGGAGCGCATCGATAGAGACATTCGGGCAGGCCAATTTTGAGCCCGAAATCTGATTTACTGGGACGATGGGCTTAATGGGATTTGTACAGAAGGATAGTGACTCTTCTTTGGTTCTGATCCTTTGTACCTGGAAAGACTTTTGAAAGAGGCCCTTAGCAGTGTGAATTTACATGTGTACTTCACAGATGGCCAGCATTAAGGTTGAATGGTTGAGATGCAATATGAGTGAGGTTTGAAAGGAGGGATGCACACATACATTTACTAATAGATCAGATAAATCAAACCGAGTCAATAGAAGCGCACGTATGTATGTCATGTAGGAGTATAGGTGAGATTTCAATCTACATCAGGAATTCATGAAGTAAATGTATATTACCCATCATGCGTTAACATAAATATCAGATATTCAGATCCCGCTGTATGTACATTTGCCTTGCATGATAAATCTGCAGCAATCAAATGTGGCTCAGCACTATAGCCTGAAATTCAGGGAATCGCCATATAATATCTAGAGTACGTACTACCACTATCTTAAGCTTCTTAAGAGCAAATAGTATTTGTGAAATTCAGAAGCCGTTGGAGTTTTCTCTGATTGAACACCTCGACTTCAACGATGAAGGTGGAGCTGACAGGTCGATGATCTGAGAGGTTCAAACCTGAGCTCCAATATGATAGTTGCTTGATACCCTTTCCCAGCCATAGTATGCGATCACACCTGATTCAGTTAGGAGGTACGTACCAAATGAGGATCTTAAAAGAAAAAGAAAGCCGGAGACAAATGACAGAATTGACTATAGAAGTTCAGAAACAAAGCATATCACTGTCTGATCAGTACAACTGACGGTATATATTTAGGTCTACAAGGAAACATGAATGAACAATTTAATGACAGAAACATGCACTTATGTGGTTAAAAAGAGTATGTTCAGAGATTTCACCATGCTGGAGATCTTTTATTCCCCACTTCGTCAGGTTTCTCCCCAACATATTTACTTGAATTTGTTTCATACTTGTAAGTAGGCGGAAAGTTGATCAACCCCTCCTTCCAACCAGCAAAAGTATTCCCATTGGTCAACTCCTTTGTTAGCTAAAATATGTGCCAAAAAGAATTTATAATTAATTTTCAGAAAACAGGAAAAGAAACATCCCCAGCTTTAGGGTCACATAATACTCCATCCGTTTCATATTATAAGTCGTTTGATCTTTTTCCTAGTTAAACTTTGTTAAGTTTGATCAAAATTATAGAAAAATTTAACATCTAAAATATAAAATTAGTTTCATTAAATCTAACATTGAATATATTTTGATTATATGTTTGTTTTGTGTTGAAAATAATAGTACATTTTTTATAAATTTGGTCAAACTTAAAAAAGTTTGACTAGAAAATAGTCAAACGACTTATAATATGAAACGGAGGGAGTAGTGTCTAATCACGAAGCAGTAGAAATCATTATCAAACCTGATCAGACACGACTTATAATATGAAACGGAGGGAGTAGTGTCTAATCACGAAGCAGTAGGAGGGAGTAGTGTCTAATCACGAAGCAGTAGAAATCATTGTCAAACCTGATCAGACTTCAAGAGATCATCCCATCTCTTCATAGATACTAAATCTCGAATTTCAGCATCCGGCATGTCAATACGATAATTAAGATCTCCAAACCAAAATATTTGACTGCTCGAAAATTGAAATTCTGATCAACCATCAAAACTGAAAGCATATCCATCACAGTAGATGTAAAGTGCAATGCAACATTGTCAAACCGCCTAGTGCCTTGATGGGTAACAGCCTTCAACAGGAATTGGGAATAAACTGTACTGTTTGCAGAACTTAAATGTAGCATTAAGAAAAGCATAATAGGTGACACACTCATTTTGGAAGCGGTGTTGATGGTCTGCCTGAACTAGTTACGCAAAATTGCAGCCATATGCTTTACAAAGATTGCCCTACATGTAGTTACATTTTTTATGACAGAAGAAAAAGGGAAAAACAAAATTTAGATTCCTAGATTCTAGGAGAGAAAAAACAAAGCATGTTATGCCTCTAAGCCATCAATATCAAAGGAACTATAATTATTCCTTTTATTGAATCAGTGTTGTTTCCATATAAATTTCTTTGTTGGTTGGGATAACCAGCACTGAAGACATAAATTTAGTACAAAGGGGACAATGGATTGGATGTTCAAATTTTCACCCTTGCATGCAACATAGCAATGCATGCTCAATCAGTTTGCTAAAAGGTAAATGTAAAGAGTGAAGTGTATATACATACTCATGTGAAGGAATCTTTTGTGGCTGACCAGCAGCAAACAAGGAAGAAAATCTTGTTCTTTGTAAAATCTCATCCACATCAGAGTTCCTTTTCTGTTGATCCCCACATTTATGGCCAGACGCAAGATGTGAGCAGACAAAGCACATCCGAGTTTGGAAAAGAGACATGCTAATGGAAATCGATCCCTGCACTAAGCAAAATTGAGATGGCCAAATAAAGTTAAACATCTTGATTCAACAGTTACACCAACATACTGTAGAGATCGACAATCAACAGAGGGAAGGATGACCTTGTTTCCCATGTAGCCCAGAAGTCCAACCCCAACTGAAGCTACCTCCAAGTTGTTAACGTGTTGCCTCAGCTTACGGGAAACCCATACAGAAACATATATACCAACCATCTGTTTACTAACAACGCGCACGTAATTTCCAGGAGGCTTTAAGGATTCTCCTTTTGCAAAAGTTGCCCTTTCATCAGGACCAACAACAGAAGTTGTGTCATCTGATGTCCAATCAGACATATAATCAACCGAACTAAGAACATCTACCTTCTCTTGCTGTTCTGACCATGACATGCCAAGATTCCCAGAGCTACGATATGATCGTCTTATCCCATCTTGCAATGCTACACCATGTAGATCAAATCCTTGAGCGTTCTCCAAATAGTCGGTGTTAAATAGCCCCATGCTCATTACTCTCCTCAACCCTCTATTTGATACCGATATTTTTGCTGGAATGTCTAGTGGGCATTCTGGCCAGTCCAATGAACTAGTTCCATCCAACCAGTCACAGCTGCACTTACTTATACTTGTTTGCTTATCTCTACACTGTTGCTGAGGAGATAAATTTTCTGTCATTTTATCATATTCACGTTTTGTATCATCATGTCCATCGTCAGAAGGAATAGGTACTCGCAATGGTGATAGTGGAGCACTGTAGCTTTTACAATTCGCCTTGGGTTGTTGAGACTTATTGAGAGCACGGCGGATAATACCCTCCCATTTAGGTACTGTTCTACTATCTTCTGCTCCCAAGACATTCCCAACGCTTAATGGGACCACTTCCTGGAAACTGAAACAAGTGAAAGACTTTAAATAGGATCACAGTAATTAGCCATACATGCTTGTCTAGTTTGGCCAAACAAGCACAAGCTCCATCTCAGGATTCTAACGATATGCCAATTAGATGTCAGCAGTCAAGTATACAAGAAAAGATTGAATGTTGTGATCAATTTATCCAAATCATAAAGTACGATTACATAGTTTCAAGGTACGCACCCTAAAATATACATGTCAGCTGGCTCTTGGGAACAAATCCACTGATCTAGGTCAAGATCTTCACTAGGGGCTCTTCCAGCAACGTTCCATGTTCCTATCATCACCCTGGTGGTAACCACTATTATAAAATCGCCAGATGCATGACATGGAATGCACTGAGGATTAAAGATGAACTCATATAAACCAAACCTCATATCTTTGTTACTTATGTAGTTAACACGCAAACTTTCTGATTTCCTTCTCTGTAGTCTTCGCAGAGGCATTATTTTATCCCCTAACAAAAGGGGTTGGCAACTTGAAATCAAGCAGATAAAAAAGTCTCACGAATTTCAACTGCAGAAGTATTTATTCACTACACAATAAACATAAACTTGCACTGACAATAGAAAAATCTACCAACTGTACCCTGAATGGTCAGTAGTTGAATACTTCTGGTCCTAAAGGCTAAACCATAGTTAAAAAGAAAGTTATCAAGAAATGTGCATAAACTAATATATGCACGTGATAATAGTTCTATTGTTTGCTATACTGTCAAGTGTCAATTAGACAAATAGTTAAGGGGATGCCATCTGGGGTTGCCACTTGCCAGTATACAAGATGCCACACAATACTCATGTTCTATTATTTAGTAATCTATATGAAATATTCAAAAACTATTTCTATGACCATAGTAATGGTCAATGTATTCAATATCAAGATGTGGAAGCAAGTGACTAACTGCACAGTGGTTGTTCTCTCTGTCCTGTTTTCAATATTTGCAACCAATTTTTTTAAAGAGAAAGTTGACCACAAGAAATACTATGGTGTGTGTGTTAACCATATGAAAAATAAATTGATGGATTTCTGATTAGAAGTCCTACCACCATGTTATAATTTTCTAGTATAATACTATGTCATGGTCAAGATTCCGTCGATATTGTGAGAACTCAAAAAAAAATACCAGCCAATTATTCATTCCAAATTTTATTTATGGAAACTCTGTGACTTGAAAGGAAATTATCTTCCACATCTAAAAAGAGTAATAGATGGTTGTTCTGCTATGATTAGGAGCAGTGATCATGATTTATTCAAAGTGATTAGTGAGAAAATAAAATTTGTAATCCACAAGCACTGGGTTTCAACTGATGATAATGAATACAACTTTAGCACCAAAATGCATGACTTAGCATGATTATGAAAAAGTCAAAGAGGCGAGGATACAATTTCACAATACCTGATGATCTGTTAATGGTGTGGTTGTTTTCATGTATCTCAAAGAAGTTGTCGCTAGCATCCTCTGCGCAGTCACTGAAATCTGAGAGAAGACTTGTAAATTTTGATTCCAAACAGACATCAGGAGTTCAAACAAAGAAATATAAAAATCAATGCTCCTGCAATTTACCATACCCTCATCTCCTCCATCTGTATCAAACTCATCTTCACTGAAATCATTTAATTTTGGCTTAATGTTTAGCCATTTCTTCATCACAATTAAAGGCCAAAATGACTGTATTGTACATCAGTCAGATTAGATAACTCATGGTATAAAGAATAATGGCAAAAAGCTAACACAATATATACAAAATATGCACATGAGGTTCTGATTTCTGCAAACCTTCTCCGACTGCTTTCCTCTTTGGGATCCCATGATCTGCAACGCTATGAGGCAGGCAATGAACACAGCTCCAAATATATCTCCAGTTCTTAACTTCATCAGAAGGCAAACTTATATAGTTATATGTTCCAACTACCCAACCAAAGGAAGAGAGATAAATGAAGGAAAGATGCAGGTAGTTAAGGTGGAAGTCAAAAACATAACAATCAAAATTCAAAAAGGTCATTTCCACTGCATTGCAGAAATCAGAGAAACTAACAGAGGGACAAAGTTTATAGTAAGTTCACCATTACCTGTTGTCCATCTCCATCAAAGTACAGAATAATTTTGAAGCATTAAAATCCATACCAGATACTTCTATTGCTGATCATGTGGTAATGGAGAATATGAAAGTAGACATCAATTTTTATTAAAAACAACAAGTCCTTTTCCAGAAGAAGATGCAAAAAAATAACTGGTGGACAAGATCAAATGCTTGTCCTGCACTTGCATGAATTATAACCAAGTGCACACGGTCTAACAAGACATTACCTAAGTGATAAGGACCAGCACTCGCACTGGCACACTGTTGGAAAGAGATGGAAGTGTGCACATATGGATGGATCATGCTGGATTAGAATGTAAAATACAAGCCATTACTCGTTATTACGGGCACTTATTCATGAAAAGGTTTTATTTACGTAGAGACAAAGAATTTGTCGATATGGCACTGTGTGTGGTCCTTGGGTTCATCCACTTTACTTTGTGAGATAAAAGATGACAAAATTTGGTTGGTAAGCAATCAATAGGAGATCTCAAGTAACTGTTCAGAGCAGCAAGAGTAGCAAAATGGGGAAGGATGCCTGATAGATATGTGGCTGAGAAAGAGCTGAACCAGATTGAAATAATAATTATGCAATGGAGACGAAGATGATGGAACACATAGAAGCAAAAGGTTTTTGAAATGGGAAGTTGTATCTTCAACTTGCCAGTAAGATGTATTATTCTCAAGCATTTGGAGGAAACGGACACATCAAAAGTGGCAAGTATACCTCTAACATTTTTCTTAAAACAATTATGTTTTCACATTCCTGACTGTGACTTGCAATTACTGTTTTCCATAAGGTTGGGTAGAAAACTGTCAAACGTAAGCATATGCATTCCTGAAAACAAGATAGCACCCATAGCAGACAAAAGTATGATGATCAAGATTAATAATTTTAAAAGTAGTGAATTTATCATAAAAATGATTGGTGGTTTTATTTTGTTATTATACATGAAAGATTAAATATGAAGATGAAATGTGAAATGGATTCTGTCATCTATAATAGCACATTTCCTACATGGATGACCAACTATCCTTTAGAAAAGATAACTTACTATATGCAGGGGTTAAGTTTCTCACTGTATCACACAAGCAAGCTGAGAGAACATTATATCAAGATATGTTCTCCATTACAGCACTCCAAGATCAGAACGAATCAATTTCCCAAAAAAAAAGATATTAAAGTGTGCATACTGCTGTACTTTCTATGACCAACCTAAATAATTTATATATTTCAATAAATATTTATCGCTTAAATAAGTGGAAATCAAGCACTTCATGGGAAAATTCGTACTAAAATACTAAGGACAGTTGCAAAGAAGTGTGCTGGCCAAAATACGATAGGTGAAAACTGAAATGTTTGCAGCAGTGGGACCAGATTCTAATCCCATTTCTTGGTTTCTTCTTTGATCTGTATCATCATCAATCAGTTCTCCCTGGCACAATACCTTGTCAATCAGCTAAAAACTGCACATGTGCAGCTGACACATTCCATGCATCCCACTGGCTAAGGATCTTATAATCAAGAATAGGAAAATGCTACTTCTGTAATTCCAACCACACTTGCATACAGCTAGTTGATCTTAACATAAGAAACTGGGGACATTGTTGTCACTGTGCTACCAGTAGTCCAGGCAAGAACAAGAACCACTTTTGAAGTGGTGGAAACGGTTACGATCTCTAACAACTATCACTCGATCATAGACCTCGGAAACTACCTTCATGACAGAGTGACAATCCTCGCAGATTCTCAAGTTTTTCACTATTCGGATAACAGCCCCTCTCCTCGTGTTTATCAGTCCAAAGGCAACTGCCAGCTTCTCACTGTGCTGCGAGATACAAACTTCTTTGTCCTCCTCATCAATGTCAAAGGTAACTAGTTTAGTGGCAGGCTTGTGCCCTTTGAGGCTCAAGGTTTTGCCTATCTCATCAAGCATTGCATATATCTGATCAGACTGAGGATGTGAATGATCCCCAGACAAGAACTCGTAAACAACACCATCAAGTTCGACAACACTCGATCCTGGAGGCTTGTGTATCCTGTGTTGTTTCATCGAGCTCCTGACCTCTTGTACAAGGTCCCATTTCCCAGCAGCCGCATATACATTTGATAAGAACACCCAGGCCCCGGCATGCTGGGGATCCAACCTGAGAATTTCCATCGCAACCATCTGCCCCATCTCAAAATTCCTGTGACATCTACAAGCCACCAAGAGAGCACCCCATAGGGCAACGTCAGCCTTGAACGGGACGGCCCTAATAAGAGCCAATGCCTCCTCTAGCAGGCCTGCTCGGCCAAGCAGATCGACGGTGCAACCATAGTGCTCTATGGTGGGTTGCAGATGATAGTCGAGAGGCATACGGCGCAGGATCCTCTTGCCCTCGTCCACCATGCCAGCATGCGTACATGCGCTGAGAACGGCGGTGAGGGTTACGGAATCTGGCTGTATGTTGTGGTCCTTCATGTGTGTGAACAAATGGAGTGCATCGGTGGAGAAGCCGTTGAGGGCGAGGCCAGCGATCATGACGGTCCAGGTGTGGACGTCCTTGTGGCGAGTGGGAGTGGAGTGGAAGAGGGAGCATGCGGTTTGGACGTCGCCGCACCTCATGTACATGTTGAGGAGCGCGGTGGCAAGATTTGTTGTGATGGGGAAGCTGCAGGTGGTTGCGAGGTAGGCGTGCGCCCAGCGGGCGGTGTGGAGCGCCCCGAGGTGGGCGCATGCGGATAGGAGGGCGAGCAGGGTGACGTGGTCGGCAGTGCGCATCGTGCGGAAGAGGCGGAGCACCTGGACGTAGTGGGCGCGGGAGAGGTAGGCGTGGAGGAGCGAGTTCCAGAGGGGGAGGTCCCTGTGGTTAGGGGGGCTGAGGTCGAACACCTGGCGTGCAGCGGGCAAGTCCCCCGCGGCGGCGTACAAGGAGAGGAGGGATGCCCTGATGAAGCGGTCGGGAGACTCGAGGCCGCGGCGGAAGAGGGAGGCGTGGAGGGCAACCCCCGCAGCAGCTGCAGCTGCAGCTGAGGAGGAATCGGAATCGGCAAGGCGCGCGCAGGCGGCGAGGAGTGGTGGGTAGGTGTAGTTGTTGGGGTGGGAGCGGGAGTGGGAGAGCATGGAGCGGTAGAGCGAGATGGCGAGGTGGGGGCGGGGCCCGCGGGCGAGGGCGCGAATGGCGGAGTTGTAGGAGAAGGTGGTGGGGTGGGCGCGGAGGATGGAGAGTGCGTAGGGGAGGGAGGCGAGGGAGGCGGCGGCAGCGAGGGGGCCCGCCGCGGAGGGGTCGGCGAAGAGGGCGCCGGAGCGGAGGAGGTGGGCGTGGAGGGCCTTTGGACACGTGGCGGTGGCGGGCATGGTAATGGTGGTCGTCTTCCTCTTCCTCTTCCTCCTCGCCGGCGGCCGGACCGGAGCGCGGCTGTCACTGTCACTCTCAGGCCCTGTTTGGCTAATTGATATGGAAATGATTTCCACCCACTAAAAGACATCTTTAAATCTTAACCATTTATTCTCCCTCTTTTATTTAATCCTAACCCTTCATTCATTTCCTAATCTTAATCCCACCCCTCATTTCCCGTTATCCAACATTATCCAAACACACTCTCAGGGGAAGAGACGAGAAGAGCGGCTCTCTCTCTCTCGTGGGCCTCTCGGCCCAAGATCTCAAGGGACAGACGGAGAAAGAGGGAGCTGGGCAAGTGGGCCCCGGAGGGCAGTGACCAGACCACAGGCGGCGTGGAATTCAAAGGTGAGTCGTCTCGTCGTAAGCCATTGCGCGTGGTTTCTTTCTTCTTCCTTAAACCTGAATCAATCTTTCTTTCTTTCTTTCTTTCTTGTCTACTAGTCTTCTACTGGAGTAGGTTCTACGAGACACAAATTAGACAGGAGAGATCGAGTTTGAAGGCAGGAAGGCAGGCGATGGCGAGCATGGAGGGTCTGATCGGCCTGATGAACCGCATCCAGCGAGCCTGCACCGCCCTCGGAGACCACGGAGGTGGAGAAGGAGCCAACCTCCCTACCCTCTGGGAGTCTCTCCCCACCATCGCCGTCGTCGGAGGCCAGGTCATTTGCTTCCTTCCTTCCTTGCTTCAATTAAATGGATTTTTTCTTTTCTCTTTAACCTTATTATTATTTTTATTATTATACTCCTATGATTAATGATGCATGGATTGGATGCTGATTTCTAGACTTTGTAATTCATTTCATTTTGGCTTGTGCACAAACAGAGTTCGGGCAAGTCCTCCGTGCTAGAGAGCATTGTTGGCAGAGATTTCCTTCCCCGTGGTTCTGGTAATTATAATAACCTCATTCACCCCAGTTTCCCTTTCAACACTATCTTACCTCCCCTCATCTATCATCTAATCTAGGAATCGTGACACGGAGGCCATTAGTTCTTCAGCTGCATCAGATCGACAAAGGGGCCCACGATTATGCAGAGTTCTTACACTTGCCCAAAACAAGGTTTTCAGATTTTGGTGCGAACTTGAAATCAATCCTTCCCCGTTAATTTCTTTATACAGCTTTGCAATATTGTAATGTAAACCTCACATCTCTGTATCCTGCTGTTTCTTGCAAATAATGCTTTAGTTCAAGTGTCTGTCCTATTGCACTATTCTGTTTCCACTGCTTTATTTCTGATTTAAAATAGCACTGCCAAACTTATATATCAACATCTTTCTAAAACAAAAGGAAAACTTATACTTAACAGCACCACTTATTTTTCTCTACTGTGGTGTAGCTCTTGTTCGTCAAGAAATTGCAGATGAGACAGATAGAGTGACTGGGAAAACTAAACAAATATCCCCTGTGCCAATACATCTCAGCATCTACTCACCCAACGGTAACCTCTTCCTGTTGCAAATGTGCAACCTATGTTGTAATCCCCTCCCAGAAATGTATCTCCATCTTGCAAATTGAATTGAACTATTCTCTGGACCACCCGAGCCCTGCGATTGTGTTTCACTGGTGGAACTCTGTTAACCCTGTAACATAAACTTTTTGAAATGTATGGGATCTTCACGAAGAAAGAAAGTTTTAGGTGGGCCAGTTTGCGGCCTTTCATATAATCTTCAAAAGATACTCTATGAGTATATCTGGACATTAAGATGCTTTGAATGATATACCATGCATGCAATAGTTTTGTGATTATCCAAGTTTGTAGCTTTCTACAGTTTATCCAGATTCTCTCATACTATATAGGATTTTGAATCATTGTCAAAGACTCCTCAATTTAGACTAGGATTTTTAATGTCTGCTTCACATATTTCTCTCATACTATACATTGATTGGCTAATAGTAGTTTACTCCCATATGTTGCAGTCGTGAACTTAACATTGATTGATCTTCCTGGATTGACAAAAGTCGCTGTAGGTATGCACTATTATGTCCTTTTTTAATCAAAGATTTAATTCTCTCTCTTTTGATACTGTGTTTAGTTTATCGTGCATCCCCCCCCCCCACCTTCCTCTAACTTGTTCAACTTCTAATTCACAGAGGGACAACCTGAAAGTGTTGTTCATGATATAGAGAATATGGTTCGGTCGTATGTTGAGAAGGTAATCAACAAACGAAGTAGCATTTTTTTTAATACCATGTCTTCAGCATTCTTGTACTAGTAGCAAATTGATGACATTAACTTGGCTGCTGTTTTGGTTGTTTAATTATTCACACCCAAATAACTTTAGGTGTTATATTGTTTAATTAATTTCTGGTGTTCAAATTTGAGAACTTATACAAGGCTAATAGGTTACTTTGTATGATATTTTGCAGCCCAATTGTATCATTTTGGCTATATCTCCAGCAAACCAGGACATTGCCACTTCTGATGCCATTAAGCTTTCGAAGGAGGTTGACCCATCAGGTACTAAAATTCAGTGCACATAGAGGGCAAGAGATAGTGACTCTTTTACTTTTATTTTCTGCGGAGAACTCATACAAATAAAGTAAAGTATGTTGCTGTAAACTTTGATGGTTTGTTATAGCTCTACAGCTAAGATTGTTATCTTCTACAGAATGCTGCAGAATAGTTTGCTTTTATCATGATCCTATCTGACTGGATTTACCATCCATTTTTATTTTCTGGATGACAATTTTTCTCTTTTACAAGGTGAGAGGACATTCGGTGTGTTGACAAAGTTGGACTTGATGGACAAGGGAACAAACGCTCTTGATGTAAGATTGAACTTGCCTGCCCTGACAAACAGTAGTCTGTCTGCACATTGTCAGTTTCAGAATATCTACATGCAGCCTTTTTTTGTTCTTAATGTTCATATCATACCTCTGACCTGTCATTTATCTGTAAATTTAACCTTGTTCTATCTGGACTACCTCGACTATTTTCATTTCCCCCAAAGGTTCTTGAGGGAAGAGCCTATCGTCTTCAGTATCCGTGGGTTGGAATTGTCAACCGCTCACAAGCAGATATTAACAGGAAAGTTGATATGATTGTTGCAAGAGAAAAGGAAAGAGAGTATTTTGAAAATAGTCCTGATTATGCACACCTAGCCAGTAAGATGGGTTCTGTGTATCTAGCTAAGCTTCTTTCTCAGGTACCTCAAACTTGAAATTTCTCGTTTCTTTGAGTTGGTATATGAGCAAGGCTTAGGACTTGCATAATTGCTTTATAACATTTTCAGCATCTTGAAGCCGTTATTAAAGCACGCATTCCTAGCATCACATCATTAATCAACAAAACTATAGATGAACTTGAATCGGAGCTGGATACCATTGGGAAAGAAGTGGCTGCTGATCCAGGGGTCAGTCATTCATATATATTTTGTACTAAAAGTAGTTTTTGCCGGGTCTGTACTAAAAGTAGTTACAGGAGTATTTGTCTTGTTCAATTTTATATTCACCGCTTCCATAATGTTGTGCCAGGCTCAACTGTACACTATATTGGAGCTCTGTCGTGCTTTTGACCGTGTTTTCAAGGAACATCTGGACGGAGGGTGGGTAATTAATTATCTGTCATCATCTTAATGGCTTCTTGTATCTCTCTTCTAATTATGTAAAGCGCTTTAGGTTCAGTTCTAGGTTTTCATTTTAGAAATACTTATCGTTATCATAATATTTTGACTTGTTGCATAAATGTTGCTTATGAACCATAGGTAGTTGCATGGCGTATCAACATCACTCGTCTCAGGATAATACATGCTGAAAGTGCACCTGTTTATGTTGAGTTCCCGGGACTTATATTGTATCTTCCATGTGAACATGAAAAGAATTTACAGAACATGCCTATCTTTTCAGAAGATGGAAGTGCATACTTCATAATGTGTAAACGGATTTAGTCAAAAAAAATAATGTGTAAACAGAATTTATAAAGTGTTCATAAGTTTTATACGACACCAATATACCTAGATTTTTTTTTAATTAGTTGTCATTTAATATGATGAGATCTTGTCCAATTACAATATTATAACGTTCATTTTACTCCTTTAACTGTTTGGGTGCCTAACTGTTGCAGGAGATCAGGTGGTGATAAAATTTATGGCGTGTTTGATCATAAGCTCCCTGCCGCTTTTAGGAAGCTGCCTTTTGATCGTTATCTATCCGTGCAAAATGTGAAGAAGGTGGTATCAGAAGCAGATGGCTATCAGCCTCATCTTATTGCTCCTGAACAAGGTTACCGTCGTCTTGTTGAAGCCGGCCTTGCGTATTTCAAGGGACCAGCTGAAGCTACAGTCGATGCGGTAGCTGACTTTCTATATATACATCTGTGCTGATTGATTTGTTGTCCGTTAGTTTCTTTAATCAGTGGCCACCAGGCCAGTAGAGTAGGCACTTTGTGCTGTACGCTTTACTTCCTGGAGTATATATATGCTAGTAGTTATATTTGATATGTGCCAATTAATAATACTCTGATGTTGGTGTTAGGTGCGCATTTGATGAGGTGTCCTAGCTTCCAAACCTTTGGAAGGAATAATGCTATATATCCCAATGTGTCTGATCTGCCAAATATATTATTTTTTTCAGGTCCATGTTGTTTTAAGGGACTTGGTGAGGAAATCCATAGGAGAGACAGAGGTTAGGAAGAATGAATATATCCATATTTCTTTGTGTTTTTGGAAAATGGTACTTTATATATGTTTTCTCACTAATTGCAGCCACTGAGAAGATTCCCTACCCTGCAAGCTGCGATTGCAACTGCTGCTAATGAAGCTCTGGAAAGGTTTCGGGAGGATGGACGTAGCACTGCACTTCGGCTTGTTGACATGGAGGCATATTTGACAGTGGAATTCTTCCGGAAACTCCCGCAAGATCCAGATAGTGGCAGCAAGGTTGGGAATAATACCAATGAATCCAATGGCTCAGGCTCAGGCTCAGTGACAGTGGACCGCTACGGCGACGGGCACTACAGGAATATCGCGTCCAATGTGTCCCAGTACATAAAGATGGTGGGAGACCAACTGTTACACAAGATCCCAAAGGCGGTGGTGCACTGTCAGGTCCGAGAAGCCAAGAGGTCTCTGCTTAACCATTTCTACGTGCACATCGGGAAGAAAGAGGTACTAATTAACTAGTAGTAGTAGTTAATCTCCTTGTCATCTAGGGTGAATGCATGGAATGGAAGTAATGAGTTTTGTGGTTGGAGCAGGCGAGCCAGTTTGGGCATTTACTGGATGAGGACCCAGCGATGCTTGAGCGTAGGCAGCAATGCTGGAAGAGGTTGGAGCTGTACAAATCGGCTAGGGATGAAATCGACTCTGTCGCATGGACCAGGTAGACACAAACATATACATGGTGGCTAGTATCTTTTGTCGCAGCTGCGTGTAGTTTGGTTTGGGCAGATCTAACTTCCATTTGTCAGGCAGGCACTATTTTCCCTTGGTATATAGTATATACTATACTATCTTACGAATTGATGGACGTTATATATCTGTATATTTTGTCAGTAGATCATCCTTCGTACATGTGCACCCCGACCCGTGCCATGCTGGTTTCAACAGTTTTTCTTTTGTTATTCTTTCTAGTGGTTGGCTTCTCTCTGTTGTCACGGTATTACATATGTTGTATTATTCCCTCCGTTTCACAATGTAAGTCATTCTAGCATTTCTCACATTCATATTGATGTTAATGAATCTAGACATATATATATCAATATAAATGTAGGAAATGCTAGAATAACTTACATTGTGAAACGGTGGGAGTATATGGTAAGCCATAAATGCCTCATGTTGTGATGCATGCCAAACAGAGTAGGGGAATGAATTTACCGATGCATGCTAACTGTCCTGGTAATCTATGTACTCTTAATAAGTTTTGGATACGTCACGATTTAACTATATTTTTTATTATAATATATAGGAAACAAGTAAATATCAAATTTTAATACAGTACTTTTTACGACTAATTTATACATCATGCTCTAGTGTTTTCAAACTAAATATTTTAAACTTATTGGTACTTAAAGTTTAAATTGCTTGACCTCAAGTTTGTCCAAAATATCAAGAATTATAGAAATGGGGGAAGTGTCTAGATTACTCGGCAAAACGATCGAGATTTTTGGGTAAATCAAACGCACCTATATATAAGTTTACTAATTAGCAAGAGCTGGTATTATAAGTCACTAAGCACTTTCCAAACATGTCATATAGGCTCATATGATAAGAAAGAGATAAGAGAAGAAAGAGGACGAGGCACCCTACATACTACTCACGTGTAATTTACTTTAATATTTACATACTACTGTATTTGAGTCCTTGTAATTTTTATATTTACATTTAAGTCCCTATAATCTTGCAATAAGATACTTGAGGTTGTTTTTGTTAAAAAAATAATAAAAGGGAGATAACAAAGGCAGAAAAGTGCATAAAAAGAAAAAGAAAATCCGCAAAAAAAAAGAAAGAAAAACAACAACAACAACAACAACAACAAAAGTCTGTTTCTCCTAAGTGACAAAAAAAAAACCCGAAGATCCGAACGGAAAAAAATCCTATTCTTATAAAAGGCAAAAATAAAATGGTGAAAAAAACCGCTAGATTTGATCCCTTTAAAAAGGGGGGAAAAGAAAAAAATGCGATTCCTTTAAAAGTGAAAAAAATAAAAAAAAACATTTAAAAAAGTTCGTCCGATTCCTAAGAAAGTGGTGAAAAAAAGGTTCGTAAAAAATAAGAAGCTGGTTCGTATAAAATAAAAAATGCACCCGAGAAAAAAATGGAAAGGGCGAAACAATGTTCGATTTCTAATCAGTATATATCTCTTCTCTATCTCTAATCTAATCTAATCTAACTATTTTAAAATAGAAAATGCACGAGAAAATAAAAACTGTTCAAAAAACGTGTGAGAAAAAAGCGCAAAAAACACGCTAAAAAGGTTTTCCATCTTCCATAAAACAAATAAAAAACGCACGAGAAAAAATATTTCCATCATCGGTAAAAAAATTATAAAAAACATGCGAGGAAAAAACTGTCAGAAAAAACACGCCATTTCTAAAAGAATGGTTTGAAAAAACAACGCAAGAAAAAACACCGTCTATTAAAAAACAAATCGCTCTGAAAAAAATGTCAGAAAAAACACTAAATTGATGGACGGTTGAGTCAGATAGGATCCATTGATTTTTTGTCATCTACTACATGGCTTTTATTTCGTCATATATTATACTCCTGTATTGGAAAAAAAGGCAAAAAAGAACATTTGAAAAAAACAAGCAAAAAAAACACGCGAGAAAATAATTGTTAGAAAAAACAGGCAAAAAACACACGAGAAAATAAAAGCAAAAAAAGGGGAGAAAAATATGGTTTTCGTCGTCAGTAAAAATAGCAAAAAAAACATGCTAGGAAAAAAACTGTTAGAAAGAAATGCGGCATTTCTGACAAATGGTTTAAGAAAACCGCGCAAGAAAAAAAAACACCGTTTATAAAAACAAACCGCTCATTAAAATACAAAAATTGTCATTAATATGATTATACATGAAAAAGTATATTATGATTAGAATATTTTCACCCATTATAATGCACGGGTATTTTTTCAGTATAATATAAATATAAAAGCAAGAAGAGGAAATAATAATAAAGGGAGCAGTGTAGGAGGTAGCTAGTAGCTTGGTGCGGTGCCGAGCGCGTAGCTCTTGAGAAGGTCACCGCAGATGGGGAGTGGGCGGGTCTTGAGGAAGCCGAGAGGATTGGCGCGGCGGACCATGGTGGCGAGGCCGGCGTCCTGAACGAGGGTGACCGGCGCGCGGTCGCGACCCACCTCCGTCTCGTGGCATTCGGGGTCCGGGCTGCTGAGCAGCGCCACCGCACACACCTCCTCGGCGCCGCGGTTGTCCACCAGCTCGATGCGGTAGTGCCCCGCCGCGTCCGTCGTCCCCTCCGCCGATCTCTCCACCGCCCCGCTCGCGCTCATGAAGTGCCGGCACTCCAGCCGCACCCGCGCGCCCTGGATCGCCGTCGTCGCGTTCGTCTGGAACCCCGCGCGGCACGTGTCGCAGTACACGTCGCCCTCCACGAAGAAATCCGGGTCACGGCTCCCCTGCACCGCCATCGCCATCGCCGTCGCCACCACCATCACCATCACCACACCGCCGGCCATAACCATACATCAATCAATCAATCTCGATAAATTAATAACCGATCCTGCTTATATATATATAGCAGCTATATATATATCGAATAGTTGAAGCGATCGATCGGCTGGGAATGGAACGACGGCCCAATTAATCAGGTGATCCATACATTAATTTGCATTGCATGTTATATATGACTCTATTGTTAGTTAGTTAAGTTGCTTGCGTTGTTGACCAATCGAAAGTACTCCTAATGAACTTCCCCTACAATTAATTAAATAATAATAATGCATGAGAGATAATCAACATAGTACTAGACATATATATAATCAAATGCCTCCTCTAAAGACTAAAATACTAATCATATAAGTACAATCAATCCGGATGGATGAGGATACAAGCAAAAAGCTAGCTGGGACTGGTAGTATACATGGCTCTCTCAGGATCGGAAAAGAAAACAAATAAGCTAGCAGCTAGGAGTATTAATTAATTAAGCCATGATGAGGAGGGCGGCGAGTAGGACGGCAGCTGCGGCGGTGGCCTTGAGGGAGGTGGCGGCGGAGGAGGGCGGCGAAGGGGGAGTAGTGGTGGCCACAGGCGCCGGGGCGGAGGAGGAATCTGCCTGCACGACGTCGATCTGGATCTTCATGTTGCCGGTGCCGGTGGTGGTGCAGTGACCGGGGAAGCCACAGATGAAGTAGCGGGTGCCGGTGGAGGTGAGGGGGATGACGTCGTTGCCGGTGGTGTGGGTGGCGATGGAGGTGGAGGTGGAGCACGAGTCGTAACCCGCCTTGTTCACCTCCACCACGTCGTGCCGCTGAGCAGAGTACTTGAACACTGCAACCATCCCCATCCATTACCATATATATGTATTCACCGGCAGCCCAGCCAATCGATATATACGATACGATTCTGATTGCATACCTATCTGGTCGCCTGGATGGAACCTCTTTTGGGCGACCCAGTTTGTGTAGTTGGTGGTGAGATCCCATGCGCCGCCCGGCTCGCCCACGTTGTAGGTCGCCGCCGACGCCATGCCCACCAGCATCGCCGCCATGCCCACCAGCACCACCGCTACTCCTCCTATACTACCCATATATACTCTACCTGGAAGGGGCAAACTAATTAAAGCAGAGGAGCTAGTTAAGCTAACTACTCTGAATCAATTGCTGTATGCTTTAATTTGTCTGTGATCGATGATCGATGAAACAGGCAGCTTTTACTGGAGTATATATATAAGCCTCCTTTGCAAGGTCGGTTGGTCAGCAGGTAATACTAGTCCACGGTTGGTAGGTACTCCTACTAATTATTATTGTCTTTTTTTCTTATTTTTCATTTTTGCTCCTTCTTTTTCTTCATAAAAAAATAAATACATTATATTATTTGTGATGGCACGTCTATCCGTTCACACTGCTCATAGCTCTAGTCCTTAAGTACGACTCACTCAATCCATCAGACCATTTCTAAATATATACGCATGCTTGATTAAGTAAGTATGAATTATTATATATTTAGAAAATAGATTTATTTTTTTAAAAAAATCTATAAATATACTCCCTCTATTTCAGGTTATAAGATGTTTTGACTTTGGTCAAAGTCAAACTATTTTAAATTTAGCTAAGTTTATAAACAATTATAATAATATTTATATTACCAAATTAATTTTATTAAATTAATAATTAAATGTATTTTTATAATAAATTTATTTTGGGTCGAAAATATTACTATTTTTTTCTATAAACTTGGTTAAAATTGAAACAATTTGACTTTGACCAAAGTCAAAAATATCTTATAACGTAAAATGATGGAGTATTTCTTTTTCTTTTATATAAAATCCACCGTTTAGCGGTTAAGAAAACGTGATAATAGAAAAATGAGAAGGTTGTAGTATGGAGCGAAAGTTTAGAACTAAATCAATTGGGTCGCATGAACGATTAATTGGAACTGTCAACTAGCGTTTGTATTACGTCCGTCCGTGCATCTACCTAATACGAGTATAGTGCAATCCCACTTCCACTATACGCGGACCATTTCAATTCGATTGACTTTGTCTCTTAGGTTGCTCGATCATTTGCGAGAAATTTGATAATATGTCATCCATTCCAATGCCGTGTACTTTTGCCCTTCGCCACGTACACATGTCAGATCTTAGGTCCCGCCCAACGCCGTTGCCGCTACGCCCTTCCAGTTGATCTATCCACTCAAGATCGATCCAAGCCAAGCTTGCCCGCCCCTATCTATGTGCCTCGCCGCCTCGGCCACACCTTTGCTGCTGTCGTCAAGAGGAGGAGCTGGTAATTAAACTAGCACCTGTTTTCTTTTCAATTAAGTAATAATATAATTTTCAAATAGTAATTAAGCTTATTTACACCTGCTTGCCTGCTTAATTGCAAATTATAGTATATTACATGGTCAGCATGTACTGCAGGTGGCCGGTCGTTGTACGCGTAAAAGCGTAACACCGTGTTTAGATCCTAATTTTTTTTTCAAACTTTTAACTTTTTCTATCACATCAAACTTTTCTACTCATATAAACTTCTAACTTTTTCGTCACATCGTTTCAATTTCAACTAAAATTGAAAGCGTGAAATAAACCCAGGCTAAGAAGAATTGGAGGAAGAAGAAGAATTCTGCAGGTTGTTGGCCTGCTGCAGTCTCATCTTAATAATTTCCACACGATATAATTAATTTATACTAGTACCACAAGAGAGTTCCAAATTGGCGGCTCAAGACTACTGCGGCTAACTGGTCATGTGACACGTATGTTAGCTGCCAGTTGACTACTCTGCTGGCCTGTGGCGTATTACGCAACTAAACTAATCAGATCGATCCATTGATAGATCATCATTCAAATTAATTCTGCTGACGACAATTCGATGTACACTAAGGCTGCGTTCGTTTGGAGAACAAATGGGGGAATGTTTGTTTCGTTTTCCGCGCGCACGTTTCCCAAACTACTAAACGGTGCGTATTTTACAAAAAATTTCTATATGAAAGTTACTTTAAAAAATCATATTAATCTATTTTTAAAGTTTAAAATAGTTAATACTCAATTAATCATGCGCTAATGGCTTACCTCGTTTTCCGTATCTTCCCAATCTTCTCAATCTCCTCTCCCTCAAACACAGCCTAAGGCTGCGTTCTTTCAGGAGAGATAGGGGAGATTTCACTCGTTTTCCGCACGCACGCTTTTCAAACTACTAAACGGTGCGTTTTTTGCAAAAATTTTCTATAGAAAAGTTGCTTTAAAAAATCACATTAATCCATTTTTGAAGTTTAAAATAGTTAATATTCAATTAATCATGTACTAATGACTCACCTCGTTTTGCGTATCTTCCCAATCTTCTCTATCTCATTTTCCTCAAACACAGCCTAAGAGCAGGTACAATAGCAGGCTATAAGCCAGCTGCAAACATATTTTAAAGAGATAAAAGATGAGAGAGAAGGGCAATGGGCTACAGATTTGTAGCCAGCTGTAGCACGGACTCCAAGACGCAGTGTATGTATGACAGGTGGGAACAGATATTAATAGTGTAGTATATAACTATTGTATGAATTGGCTATTAAGTTGGCTATAAGTGAATTGGAGCTAGTAATTGTCTATACTATTAAACTTGCTCTAAGGGCAGTTCCAACCCATAGTGTCCATAAGCAGTGTCTATGATGCCATGTCAATAAAACATCACAATAGAAACTACACTCTATAACCCATGGTTTCTTAAAATTGGTCATTAAAAAATACATCATATCTCTTCTCTACCAATCATATTTATTCTTCATCTATTATGAAGACACTATTCTCTTCCAATGCAAAACTTGATAGTGTCTAGTGTATAGGTTCTCATGTTGAAGCTGTCTTGCATGAGACCCAATTTCTTTCTCTCTTCACTCTTTCTCTTAGTTAATATAGTGTCACATAAGCTAAAAATCTTACATGGCAATGTAGTTAATGCCATAGACACCGTCTTAGGTGGGGTTGGGACTACCCTAGGCATATCCATGCGTCAACTTGCTACTAGCATTTACAGGTTTAGGACCTTTGATTTGTTGGTGACAGAACCCAAGGCGCTTGGATCAGCCACCGGGCATCGATCAGTTGATCATCAAATTAAAATTTCAGTTGATTAAAACTACGTACTAACTGGTCGTAATTATATTAATTACTCCTAACTAGTATACTATATAGTTATATTAGCAAATTAATTAAGGACAGCAATCAGGGGTAAGGACAGTCAATCGTATCGATCGAGTGTATATGCATACGTGCGTAAATTAAGCTAGCATGTATGTAGGTAGGTACTGTAGCTATATACTGTATAAGTGAAGTAGAAGTATATGACATATTATATAGATAGTGGTAGTACATGTATAGAGAGAGAGAGAGAGAGACGATCGATATGATTGATTATGCGGCGGGGCGTTGGTCATCGTCGTCGTCCTCCGGCGGCTGCAGCTTCTGGGGACGAGGGGCAGGCTCGGAGGAGGCGCCGGCGACGGTGAGGTACTCGAGCGCGGTGACGACGTCGCTGATGGCAGGGCGCATGGTGGCGTCCTCCTGGAGGCACATGGCGGCGATGGCGAGGGCCTGGTAGAGGCCCTTGGTGGGGTAGGCGCCGCGGAGCAAGGGGTCGGCCATGTCGGCGAAGAGCTTCTTGTCCTTGAAGCGCGGGGCGGCCCACTGGACGAGGTTCTGCTCATCGTGAGGGCGGGCCATGTCGATGGCGCGGCGGCCGGTGATGATCTCGAGGAAGACGACGCCGAAGCTGTAGACGTCGGAGCAGGTGGTGAGCTTGCCGGTGAGAGCGTACTCGGGGGCGCAGTAGCCGTAGGTGCCCATGACGCGGGTGGAGACGTGGGTCTTGTCGCCGACGGGGCCGACCTTGGCGAGGCCGAAGTCGGAGAGGCGGGCCTGGAAGGAGGAGTCGAGGAGGATGTTGGAGGCCTTGAAGTCGCGGTAGATGACGGGGGGACGAGCTGCGTCGTGCAGGTGCTCAAGGCCGCGGGCGGCGCCCTGCGCGATGCGCATCCGAGTGGTCCAGTCCAGAGCCGCGGCGCCAGGGGGCAGGTCAAGCAGGTGGTCCTCCAGGGAGCCGCGGGCCATGTACTCGTACACCAGGATGCGGTGGTCGCCGTCGGTGCAGTACCCCAGCAGCGTCACCAGGTTTGGGTGCTCCGCCAGCAGGCTCAGCATCAGCACCTCCACAAGGAACTCCCGGTTCCCCTGCATCCCGTTCCGGTCCAGCTGCTTCACCGCCGCCTCCGTCACCGTCCCCTTGATGCTCAGCCTCCCCCGGTACACCGGCCCGAACCCTCCCTCCCCCAGCAGCGACTCCGCCCTGAACCCGCCCGTCGCCTCCGACAGCTCGCCGTACGTGAACGCCCGCGCCGTCACCTTCCCCTTGCCGATCTTCAGGATCTCGTCCGCCACGCGCTTGTGCCGGTAAGTCACTGTCCATTCATTTATCCATGAAAATATACAATGTTTGTTTCTTTGTTTGTTGTATTCCGAAAATGTAAATATATGGAGTAGCTTAGCTAACTAACTAGGAGTACATACGATACCTGACTCTGCCACGATCTCGTTCACCAGGTTCACCAGGTTGCTGTTGTTGTCCCTGCTGCTCCCGCCCAGGCTCCGCTCCGACGCTAAATTCTTCTTCTTGCTGCTGCTGCTGCTGTTGCTGCAGCCGCTAGAGGAGGTCGAGGGAGGCGCTCCGTCGCCATCGCCGTCCCCGTCGCCTCCTCTGTCCTCGGACTGGAAGCAGCAGAAGATGCCCATTATATTTATGGTGTGCTGGGCCCTCCACCAACGCCAACAGGAACGAATCCTGGAACCAGAGGGATGATCCTCCAACTCTGCTCCTCAACCAGCATCCGGTTCCAAACTGATAAGGCCTAGCCAGCCAGCCACCAATCTGATGATCGATGATCGATAACAAAGGGATGTATAATTTTAATTGAGATTATCAAGGATGATCGCCGGACGGCGAGCTTGTACCGTACGTACAAACTGCCGACGAGCGAGGCGCGCGCGCGCGAATGGAATGGGGAAATCCGATTGCTTAATAACCTTTCTGGCATTGCCCATTGGAATGGATGGGGTAAATTAATTCGTCCGTTATTAGTTTATTATTATTATTTGTTCCGATGAAAAAAACAAAAAGCAGAGGTGCTCTGTTTTTTTGGATGGCTCCTAATCTGAGCCAGAAACACAACCAACCGCATGCCGGCCTTGGCCTGGCAACGCCAACTATATTAAGACTGCCTGCAGTTATCTATCGATCCATGTAGTGTACGTAGTAGTATTTTATTTATTTATTTATTGGGTAAATATATATATGTATATATTGCCAGTGCCCAGTGGCAGGCTGTGCATACTGTTGCTGATGAGTGGAGTAGTAGTTAACTTGACAGCCAATCGATGGATATAATTGAGGTTTGTATGCAGGAATATAATGGATGGAATTATACATGGATGCATGTAGAGTAAGAGTAGTAGTAGCTGCTAGGTCCCGACGTAGCCGAAGCCGACGATGAAGGCGGCGGCCGACTGGAGGAGCAGGTAGATGTAGAAGCTGTCGCGGCCGTAGGCGATGTCGTAGAGGGCGCAGTAGAGCAGGCAGGCCCCCAGGAGGATCTCGGCGACATGGACGTCATTATTGAAGAAGCTTGTGCGGCTGGAGCTGGTGGTGGTCTTCCTCCCAGGCCTGGTGGTGGTATTAGCTGGCTGCTGGTGCTTGGGGTTGGCGTTGCCTCGCTTGTCGGTGACGACCCACTCGTTGGCGCGGGTGGCCTCGAGCAGGCCGATGAGCGTGGCCTTGGTCCGGTGCATGGACATGACGTTCTCGAAGAGGATCCAGAAGATGAGGAGATGGCAGGAGCGCGGGGTGCAGGCGGCGTTGAGGAGGGTGATGGCGGCGGGGACGTAGAGGGCGACGTACTTGGGGAGGCGGACGTGGTCGGAGCCGGCGAGGACGCAGGCGGGGATGACGACGCAGTAGAAGGAGAAGGTGAGGAGGTGGGCGACGAGCTTGCGGAGGAAGAAGAAATCGTAGAGGAGGTGGAGCTTCTTCCAGGGGGACACGCGGGCGGTGGGGCCTCGAGGAAAATCTTGCGGAACAGGTTGGCGGGGCCGCACGACCACCGGTGCTGCTGGTACCGGTACGCGCGCAGCGTGCTGGGCAGCTCGTTCCGCACCCCGACGTGCCCCACGTACACGAACCGCCACCCCCTCAGGCTCGCTCGCACCGCCAGGTCCATGTCCTCCACCGTCGTCCGCTCCTTCCACCCGCCCGCCTCCTCCAGGGCTCGCACCCGCCACACGCCCGCCGTGCCGTTGAACCCGAAGAAGCCGTGGCACGCCGACCCCACCTCCTGCTCCACGCGGAAGTGGTAGTCCAGCGACATCTCCTGGATGCGGGTCAGAAGGCACTCGTCCGCGTTCACGAACCGCCACCTCGCCTGCACCAGCGCCACCCCCGGGTCCGCCACCAGCACCGGCACTGTGCGCAGGAGGAAGTCGGCGTCCGGCTGGAAGTCTGCGTCGAAGATGGCAACCAACTCACACTCCCTCGCGTACGCCTTCCGCAGCCCCTCCCGCATCGCCCCCGCCTTGTACCCGCTCCTGTTCCGCCTGTTCTCGTACCTTATGCTCACGCCCTTCCCCGCCCATCGCCCGCACTCTCCCTCCACCATCTCCTGCAATCCATTATATATATGTTCTCTAATTAATTTCCTCTTTCCAAATTACTAGTATATACTGTATGAAACACAGACGTACGTACCCTTATGGCTGGATCTGTAGAGTCATCCAGCACCTGAATCACCAGCTTGTCAGATGGCCATGTCATCCCACACGCGGCACCGATAGAAAGCCGGTAAACCTGCGCATTGCACCGTACACCCCTGTTTTATTAGGCCAGATCGATTTGGTAAAACCAACTCTTCATATATATGCACATTAATTTCATGTTCTGTTCTGGACAATATACTAGCACTATATAATTACTGTGGAAATTAACATATATTATATTAACTAGCGTAGTGGCCCACGCAGATTGCGCGGCTAGCATTATTATATTTTCTGTCATATAATTACATATATGTTTTCTCAATGTATTATTCAAATATATTAAAATGAAAACATTATTTTAAATTTTGTACTACCTTTACAAAACTACTAATGTATAATATTCATGTATAATATTCATATTGTTTTTTATATACATGTTAGTTATTAATTATTTTTAATATTAAATTTTAGTTATTTGTAAATTATATTCCTATATGGACTTTAGGCTCTTCTTTCAATATTATTTATTTTTAATTCTGAATTTTTATTATTTCTAATTGTATTTCTATGTGGACTCTAAACTCATCTTTCAATATTCTTTAATTTTTAATTTCGAATTTAAGTTACTTCTAAATTGTATTCTTATATTGACTTTAGACTCCTCTTCCCATGTTTTTTTAATTTTGAATTTTAGTTATTTATAAATTATATTTTTATATGAACTCTAAACTCTAATTTTAATTTTATTATGTTTATTCTGAATTTTAGTTAGTTTTAAATTCTTATATGGACTCTATACTCTACTTCTAATATTCCTTATTTTTAATTCCGAATGTCTATTATTTCTTAATTGTATTTCTATATGGACTATATACTCTACTTCTAATATTCCTTATTTTAATTCCGAATTTCTATTATTTCTTAATTGTATTTCTATATGGACTCTATACTCTACTTGTAATATTCCTTATTTTTAATTCCGAATTTCTATTGTTTCTCAATTGTATTTCTATATGGACTCTAGTCTTCTCTTCCAATATTTCTTATTTTTTAATTACGAATTTCAACTATTTCTAAATTATATTTCTATATGGACTATGTTTTTCTTTTTCTCTGATTAATGTGGGAATTTCTAGGCCGTGAGAGCGAACGTGGAGGCTCCTTTTTCTATTCCTTTAATAAGTTAATAGATAGATATTTCTTAATATGCCTTTTTTTCTTTCTTCAGTTTTTAACTAATCCTAATCTATTTCTATTTTTTCCGCATCCCCAAAACATTGTCCGTTTCCAGTTTTTCCCGTGTAGAGTATGTTTAGGTTTTCCTTTTTTTTACCGATTGTCCGATTCAAGTTTCTTAATGTCTTTTTTTTCTTTATTCAGTTTCCAGTGTGTAGTATGATTAGGTTTTCCTTCTTTTTTTACCGGTTGTCCGATTCAGAGTTTCTTTTTTTTTTCTTTCTTCAGTTTTTAACTAATCTTCTATTTTTATTTTTTATTATTTTTTTGGATTAATGTGGGAATTTCTAGGCCGTAAGAGCGAACGTGGGGGCTCTTTTTTCTATTACTTTATAGATATAATAGATTCTTTTAGACCGGCCGGAGAGAGTAGCAAATTATCTAGACCAGAGAAGTGTATTTTATGTACAGAGTTGAATTTGCTGTTTTGATTTTTATATATATTCTTGCACATGCACTTCAAGCTGGGAAAGTACTCCCTCTATTTCATATTATAAGACTTTCGAGCATTGTTCACATTTATATAGATGTTAATAAATCTAGACATATATATATGTCTAGATTCATTAACACATATATGAATGTGAGCAATGCTAAAATGTCTTATAATATGAAACGGATGAAGTATATATTTTCATCCCTAGAGAGGATAATCTCATTTTTCATAAGATAGATCAAATATATATTTTCAAGCTGGGAAAGCATATATTTTCATGCACTTCAAGTTTATATTTTTTGATAATCTCATTTTCTCAATACACAAACATGTAAGTTCAAATTTAATTTCTATAAATTATAACAAAAATATCAAATAAAATTGTGGATTCACATCAACTGATTTCAGTTTAATTTATTATTTTTTACAACTCGTAGAAGTCAAATTTGATCTTGCATATATTGTAAAGTGATATGTCTCATATTAATTTATCTTATCAATTTTTTTTAAAAAAATATGACTATTTAGATGGTAAGAGATGTCTCCTCGATGGATAAAAAACCCATCTTCCTTAGATCTTAAAATCTACTTTCTGCATGTGCTTTTGTTAGTTAGTGCATCATATGTGTCTATTCGGTCGTTTCGCACGAGCTAGCTAGCGATCTAGGCACTACAAAAATTGATTTTTGCATGCTTCTAAAGGTGCGTATCATGGTGCTTTCTCTGTTTCATGCTACAACATGTTTTGATTTATTTATTTGTCATCTAGGCTCACTAGTGTTCATATAATATTTTTAGATGGGATACATCCATATAAATTTGGACACAAACACATTAATTCATATATAAATATGTTCAAAATCTAAAGTATATATTATAATTAATGTGAAATAGATAAAGTAGTTGTTTAGAAACGAAGATCGGTACGGCTGGGAAGCAATAAAACCAGAAAGGAAACATGACAGTAGTGATGATGCGTGGGCCAGGCGCAATCAATGGAGATTTTCTGCAATACTGCTGGTGCAGTAGCAGTGGCTGACGTGTGGACCCGGAACCATATGTCAGTCTCTGCTACTACATCAGCAGTACTGCAGAGGATGTGCATCTAGGCGCAATATATGTATATCATCGTTAAGTACTAGTTTGTTTCGAGATGTAATGACGTGCACTCCTATAGTTGACATATATACTGTTGCAGTGCCATGCATATATTATAAATGCACTTTTCATACTAGCTAGCTGATTTGTTTTGCGTGTATATATAATTAATTTCTTACTTTACATTAGACGACGTGGACAGGCATGTAGTGGAAGCACGGAGAGCAAGTTCAGCATGAACGCACCCAACTGACCATGCATTTGCGCGAACTAACAATGTACTACATGTGAAGTTCGTTTTTTTTTTAAAAAAAAAAGAAGAAGAGGAAGAAGAGAAGAAATCAGGCATTTTGCATGAGGAATAGAAACCACAGGCGCGGCAGCGCGCAGCTGGGGGATCGCCGCCGCGGCCGACCGCAGGCCAAGCTTGATTAATTGTACGTTCTGGTTGCTCGATCGCTTAATTAATTAGTATATATGTGTGTTAATTAATTAATGTTACACATATGCATTGCTGTTTCCCAGCGTGGTGTGGTATGTACATATACAAGTGTAGGCGGCTAGGCGGTGGCAGTGAGAGATGGTGGATGGATCGATAGGAGTAAAAGTGTTGGGTCGGGAAAAGCCAAGAAATTAAAGAGGACGTATATACAGTACAGTACAGTACAGTATAGCAAGAGGTAGCACGCACAGATTACTACTGACCTGTTTCTCATTGAACATGGGGATCTGCACCAGGACCATGGGGCTGTTGGCCGCCTCCGGGTCCTGCAGCAGCTGGTCGTTTTCAGCGCCATCGTCGTCCTGCTCCCTCCTGTTGCTGCGGCGGCGGCGGCGGCGAATCAGCCACAGGGCGGCGACGACGAGCGCCATGTAGAGTCGCTCGAGGAAGAGCATGATCGACATGGCGACGCAGACGTAGACGGCCAGCTGCAGCGTCGGCAACACCACCCCGCACCGCACTGCCCGCCATGCCCATGCCAACCCGCCGCTCATCATCCGGACCGACCTGCCTAGCTTGATCGATCTTACTTAAATTAATTAATTGATCAACGTACCAGCCGATCGAATATATCGATATACAGGAGTACAGTATATATGATCAATTAATCGATATGATCGATCAGTTCCCCGGGCGCCCTTCGACTTGGATTTGACCGCCCAGGAGCTGATGACCCGCCTGTTCTATTTCTATACATATGAGTATGTATGCAAACAATATTAATTTGTGATCGATCGATATGATGTGTAGTGGCCGGCCTAGCTCTAGCGCTAAGCTAGCTGCGTGCACATATACATATCTTGATTGAGCAGCTAGCTAGCTTGGAATTGGTATATATAGTGATATATATGATCGATCCAGAGAGGAAAGCTACAGAAACTGCTAGCTACTACTTAATTAATTAAAGTTTTCTTAATAAAGGGAAAAGGGTCTCCTCCTTTAATTTGTGTGTGCATGTATATATTGGCCGGTCAGCCTGGATTCATGCATGTTTTTTTCTTTAACAATACGCAAACCAGCCGGGGTCCTCCTCCTCCTGTTTTCAATACAAAATAATGCGTATTTTTTCTTGGCCTGTTTTGCTTTATTTGCTGGCTGCCTACGTGGTATATATGGGTACAGCACTAGAGCCAGGTCAGGGCCGGTGCATATGCGGTGAGGTCTACACGTATCTACGTACATACGTACACCTTTATTGTCATATGTAGCCTACCATTGCCATACAGCTAGGTGCCTACTCAGAAGACATGTTTGAGACTGCTGCTACCTACTACGTCCGTCCTAAAATATAGTAACTTTTGGCTAAAATTTAGACACATAGTTGTCCAGATTTATAGCTAAAAATACTTATATTTTGGAAATTCGTCCTAAAATATAATAACTTTTGACTATAAATTTAGACACACAGTTGTCCAGATTAATAGCTAAAAATGCTTATATTTTAGGATAGAGTGAGTATAATTCTCATGTAAGCCTCTTCATAATTAGTACACGCACGCATCGATCGTTTCCTTCACATTATATATATACTCTCTCACAAGTCAGATCCGTTCTCCCCCCCTAAAAAAAAGGAACATGCATTTGTTTAATTAATCTCTGTTTAAATCTAGAGTTGAATTTGCCGTTATACTAAATACGGGATACCTCAAAGATATGCACATACATCAAAGAAGTAACACTTACAACTTCTACGAGAAGACAAATCCCTTAAACAAGAGATGGCTAGCAACCTCACTCTAGCCAGCCCGATCCAAACAGCTAGCAGGTTGAGAAGGTCGCAGATCCGATGCAACTGATGACCTCCTCGCTTGGTGATGCGGCGGCAATGATTGCGGTGGTTGTGGGGAAGGGGAGGGAGGATGGATCGTGGGAGGGGAAGGAATGCAAGGGTCGAAGGGGCCGAGGGACTTACTGCAAGCTAACTTCTCCTTGTTTCATACATTCCAATTTATTTACTGAATTACCACGATTCATGTTGTGAACCGACAATGATACTGTCATGTATCTGGTGGGCTGCATGGGCTGCTGGAGAAATGGGCTTGGCCTAGCTCACATACTGAAGGTGCAAGCAACCAAGAAGTATAAATACCAACCGTGGCAGTGAGAGAAGGCATTGATGAATTAGAACCTGATGGCTGTGGCCTCTTCTTCCTCCTCTTGATTTCTCCTCTAATCCCCTACTCTGTGTTTCTCTGATTCCCTTTACCCCCTGCTTCTCTTCCCAATCTCTGCTGCTAGTTCTTCCAATTTGTATCCCTGAACTTGATATACAGAGTTGGAGAGGATATATTGCTCCTGTGCTTGTGTTCACCAGTGAGATTCATGTGGGATCGTGACAGATACAAATTTATTACGGTAGTCACCCGAGTCGCCTAACAACCCATGCCCTTCCCCTACAAGGGTGATGATGGTACACGCGACCGATGTGCAGGCATCATGCCATCACTTGTCACTCCTTACTAAATGCGAAATTCGCTTGTGGACGAGCACGTTGCATCCCGTCGTCATTAATAAGTTGTTGTTTCCCTCGAGTTACAGATGTGCAGGCTCGATCATCCCGTCGTCGCATATGCTTTCAATAGTTGTATATAGCTTTGTATTTGCACAACTTTAACCTCCCTCCATACTAAGACCCTGTTTGGATCCGAAGGGCTATTTAACAGTCCTTTGGAATCTTGCTATTTAAGAGTATTAAACGTAGATTACTGACAAAACCTATTCCATAACTTCTAGGCTATTTTGCGAGACGAATCTAACGAGATATATTAATCCATGATTTGCTACAGTGATGCTACAGTAATCAGCCGCTAATTATGGATTAATATACATCATTAGATTCGTCTCGCAAAATAGCCTAGGGGTTATGGAATCGGTTTTGTCGGTAATCTACGTTTAATAATCCTAAATAGCAAGATTCCGGAGGGCTATTTAATAGCCCGGAGGATCCAAACAAGACCTAAATGTCTAGGGGCTTGTATGTACTTTTTTCCAAATAATTGGCTCGATCATCCCGTCGTCACATATGCTTTCAATAGTTGTATATAGTTTTGTATTTGCGCAACTTTAACCTCCCTCCATACTAAATGTCTAGGGGCTCGTCTGTACTTTTTTCCAAATAATTGAAATGTAAACATAGGAGTAGGGTGTATTTATAAATAAAAATATATTAAATGTTTGAGGGTTTATTGGCAATATTATTTATTAGCCGGCACAAACTGGGTTTCGTGCAAACATCGTCAAAAGTCAACGACATTATCTATAAAAAAACAGCAACCGAGAAAGTGTTATTTGTGCGCCTACATTTAAATAAAATTACATTATGCATTATTGTGAATATAATATAACTTGCTGAGATTTATTCTTATATAAAGTGGCTCAAAGTATAGCCAGACGATTTAAAGTTCTTTCACTATTCCACTAAGTACCGATCTAACCTTTTTCTTGCCATTTGTCTCTCTGTATTGGGCCTGGTATTCCATAGCCCAAAGGCTCACATGTGGAGACCCACTTAGTGGAGCAACCTAAGCAGCGACTCGATCAAGTTGGTCGATCTCTCTCCCTCTTCGCTTGATCCCTTTCTCTCTCCAGTCTTATCGCGTAACACCATCCTTCCGGTCCTCAGCCGCCTCTTTGATACTCCCTCCATCCCTAAATATTTGACGCCGTTGACTTTTTTAAACATGTGTGACCGTTCGTCTTATTCAAAAAATTTAAGTAAGTATTAATTCTTTCTCTATCATTTGATTCATTGTTAAATATACTTTTATGTATACATATAGTTTTACATATTTCACAAAAGTTTTTGAATAAGACGAATGGTCAAATATGTTTAAAAAAGTCAACGGCGTATATCGGTTAAATATGAGGACCGCCTCCGATATTGTTAAATATTGTTAAATATGAGGGAGTATATCGGTTAGATTGGTCCACCTCCGAGGACCGCTACCATCACCACCTACCGGAATCAACACGTCAAGTTCCCTCGAATTCGGCCTCTCTCCGATATCCGTCGCTCTCGGCGGCGGCAGGATCTTGGGCCAATGTATCTCTGAAGCATCTAGGCCCCCTGTAGGATCAAGGAGGCCGACTAGAGGGGGGTGAATAGGCGGTTTTAAAACTTAATGGCACTTAAACAAAACTAACCTAAGTTGCTAGGCAAGGTGAGGTGAAAGGTTAACTAAGCAACTAAGTTAAGTTTTGCAAACCTAGGTGATATGGGCTCAAATATGTCTCTATGAATGTAAATTGCACAAATATAAATGCAATAAATAAATGAGACAAGAGACAAGGAATTTTTCACCGAGGTTCGGAAACTCGCCGGTTTCCTAATCCCCGTTGAGGCGAGCCCAACTCCACCGCTCAACCACGAAGCCACCGCACGCCCCCTTCGTCAAGGGGTGGGCAAGGTGGGAGCCGGCCCACGGAGAGGACTACCCAAGCCTCGATCACTAGGGTAGTTCTTCCTTCACTCCGAAGGTGGTGAACTCCAAACCACTCACAAACGGCGCCGGGCCTCCTCCACAATCTCCTCGGAGAGGTCACCGGGCAACACCTCCACAAGCCGTCTAGCAGGCGGCAACCTCCAAGAGTAACAAGTCTAGGATGCTTGCCAAGGATGATCAAGTGCCACACTAGCTATAACAATGAAGCAATGCACTTGGATTGGCTTAACTCACTCTCTAACACCTCACTAGATAAACTAAGTGTCCAAGGGTGTGAGAGCTCTTGCAAGGGTTCAAGATAATGCAATGGAGTGCCAAAACCTTTCCCTTGTTGCTGGGGAGTGGGTATATATACCCCCAACCACCAAAACTAGCCGTTGGAACCGAAATCCCCAACTCCGTGCTCTGCCGGTCAGACCGCCGTTGTGAGGCCGGTCAGACCGGACTACTTTGTAACAGCTAGTTTTAGCCGTTACAGGGCAATCATTGAGCCCACTCAACTTGGTCGGTCTTACCGTAGTGTAGTGGCCGGTCAGACCGTCCACGGCTCGGTCAGACCGCCGTCGGCTCGGTCTGACCGGTTGCGGCTCTGGCGGCTCTGTATCGCCACCAAAAACCAGACCAGTGCAATAGACTAGTGGGGCCGGTCAGACCGGCCTTACCACGCCGGTCAGACCGGCTAACAGGCCCGGTCAGACCGGCCTAATGCCCATGGTTAGACCGCAGGTCACTTTTCAGCTCAACCGACCGTTAGTAAAACGGCGATATCTCTTGACTCGGGTCTCGGAATTTGGCGTTCTTGTACTCTATGGAAAGCTTATTCAAAGGGCCATCCAACCCATGAAAAAACCATGCAAGAAACACAACTTAAGCCAAGGATAAAGGGCTCACACTCCAAAGGATATCCACCGGACATACCCACAAGATGTCACTCACTCCTATTGGACATGCCCACTTCTTTCTTGGTTTAGGACTTGATAAAAACTCATCACACTTGGCTAGACAAGCCCACCAAATGCACCTATATGCATATGAACTAATATGGCACAAGATCATCCACAAGCTCCCGCTTCATAGACCCCTCTTGAAAGTACGACGACTATCTAGCAAATCCGGTCTACACCAAACACCAAGACCGGGAAAAGACTAAGAAAATATTCTTAGCTACATTATACCTTTGCCTTGCGCCATCCATCTTGGGGTCAAGCTTGAGTCGAGATCAACACTTGTGACCATTTGATTCAACCATGTTTATACCAAGGTATTTACCATCATTTGTCAAGACTTTCTTCTCATCACAAGCTTGATTTAATTCTTGTCGACACGGCGATGCCCTTGGCTTGGTGACCATCAACCCATGGTGTCATCCATTAGCCTCATCACAATTAGACCTATTCCTTTGCACATCTCAAAGAAGAACATTAGTACCAACAAATCGGTTGTCATCCTCCACTTGGTGATCAACCGGTTGCATATGAAAGATATGGATATGTTTGTTGAGTATTCATTAACATCACAAGTGTCATATACTCGTATGCAAGCTCAAGTGCAAAGATCCGATATAAATAATAGGTGAACAACATGGATCTAGAACATACACAATAAATGTATAGGATTTGCTCCCCCTTGGTTTTGATGAAAATTAGGACAATGTTACCCTACCAAGGAAATTGAAGCAACAGAGTCTTTCCTCTCCTTTTTCTTCTGTCGCCATGGTACTGCTACAACATGTTGCTGTTACTGCAGTCCGAAGCAGCAAGCCGCTGCAGCTGCCCAAGATGCAGCCGTGCTCGCCGATGTTGTTTGCCGCAGCTTCACAAGCCTCTGCCGTGCTCGCCGCTGCTGCTTCCGTAGCGTCACAAACTGCCGCCGCGCCGTCACGCCGTGGCCGCCCGCCTTGCTGCCCCGCAAAATCCATCCCCGCCTTGCTGCCTTACCATATCCTACTTTATTGCAACCAATTTTTGTTTGATTTGCTCTTGATTTGGAAGAAGAGATGAGAGGATTTGGGGATGTAGTAGGGTTCGAGGATAGGGAAGGGAATCGGCCAATCGGGACCTGCCTTTCTGGGAGATGGGGGCTTCTGCGTGCGAGAGGGGTAGGGAGGGGGGCAAAACGGTCTTGTTGTGCAGCTTTGTTTTTCACATTAGTTTTATGAATTATTTTTGTCTTCTTATTTGCACTAGCTCAAACGGTAATGGTAAACGGAAGGTACACATCAGTTTTAATGGCAAATTTGCAGTTTGCGTTTTTTTAATGGCTATTTCGAATTAGAGGGTAAGAGTAGTGGTATATTTGCAATTCTCCCAAATATATGCATACAAATAAATATACAAGAGATGCAAGTGTATGAATAATTAGAGAATGACCAATGGGGGTTTATCCTATACACATAGAGAAGGCATATGTAGTAATGATGTAGACCAACATAAAACACATACATTCATGATCTCCATGTTCTTAATGTAAATGAGACTAAATAAGATACGACTCGAGTAAAAATTAATCTCACACTTATATATCAATAACATGGAAATCATATATATGAACCTATCAAAAAGTAGGAGATAAGAAGTGGTACACATCATTTTATCTCCATACATTTCATCCTTGTCATGATTAAGGTCCATCACAAAAGAATGCATGTCTTCCACATCTCATTATCGGGAAATAACCTAGTAGACAACTTATGCAAAAGAGAGGTTAATCCCATAAACATCGGTTTATCATCTATCACCAAAGTAACAATTACACAAATTGTTTAATCCAAGATCTTTAAATCTTTTCTCTCTTTGGTGATGGGTAATAACCCGATATAAACAATATAGAGAGATGAGATGAAAGATGATTTCAAATCAAGATAGAAATCTTATAATAAACAAAATATAGAATAAGCTCCCCCTCAAGATGTGCATACATATGGATATAAAGGAACACATATGCACATAATCAATCAAGATCAATGAGGGCTCTCACATTATATTTTGGATCCACAAGAGAGACCAAGTTAGAATATGTGAAGTTTGATACATACCTCTCATCATTTTTATTTTCATATCCAAATGAGACTAGTCAAAGAAAGGCTCATAAAAACGTTAGTCTCATATAATTAGATTTGTCATTAATCACCAAAACCAAATTAAGGCACTTGAACTTACACCCCCATTGTTAATTTTGGTAATTAATGACAAGTACTAATTGTGGACTAACCATTGTCTTTGAGCTATATATTTTTTGAGTTAGGTTCACATTATGTGTGTGCGCATGAGTGACTACCGATGGATTAAAATTGATGGCGCGAAGCGAAGAAAAGAAGACGGTAAAACTAGTGCTTTAGTTTTAAATTGATCGAGGTGTAGGGGCGATCAAATTTGCTTGTTTATTTTTAGCTTCTCCGTACTATTAAGAGGAGTAATGACATAGCAAAGAGATGATTTTAATTGCCATATTAGGTCATTGCATTTAGACTTGTGCTCACTTTTCACACACACTTGCATTCACTGAGTTCGGCCTGACAAGAGCCGGTCTAACCGCGCGCTTGAGGCCGGTCTGACCGCAGGCCACTAGCGGTCTGATCGGCCACCTAGTGGCGGTCTGACTGGCCCTACAGAGGCGGTCTGACCGGTGCTAAAGCCCAGTCTGACCGGCCCCCTGGAGGCCGGGATGGTGTCCTCGGGGTTGACCGATACAGAGCCGAAGGAACCGTATTCGGTCAGACCGAGCTGAGGGCGATCTGACCGAGCCGAGGCCGGTCTGACCGGCCACTCAACGTCAGTCTGACCAGCCAGGCTGATGGGGCCCTTTGACAGGGCTACAACTAGCCATTGCAGAGTAGCACGGTCTGACCGGCCACATACCTCCAGTCAGACCGGCAGTACACAAAATTGGGGGATTTCGCCCCCAACGGCTAGTTTTGGTTGGTGGGAGTATAAATACTCCCCCATCAGCAGCAAGGGGTCTTTCTTGGCACCCAATTCAATTGCATACATCCCTTGCACCTCTCTCACACACATTTGAGCTTAGTGCTTATCCATTGTAGTGGTTGAGGTTGTTCTAGCCAAGAGTCAAGTGCATTGCTTCCATTATAGAGCTAGTGTGGCACTTGATCATCTCCGAGCCGCGTCATCGCTTGTTACTCTTGGATGTTGCTTCCTCCTAGACGGCTTGTGGAGGAGTTGCCCGGTGACCTCTCCGAGAAGATTGTGGAGGAGGCCCGGCGCCGGTTGTGAGTGGTTTGGAGTTCACCACCTTCGGAGTGAAGGAAGAACTACCCTGAGTGATCAAGGCTTGGGTAGTCCTCTCCGCAGGCCGGCTCCCACCTTGCCCACCCCTTGACGAAGGGGGCGTGCGGTGGCTTCGTGGTTGAGCGGTGGAGTTGGGCTCGCCTCGACGGGAAGTAGGAAACCGACGAGTTTCCGAACCTCAGTGAAAAATCTCTCGTCTCCTTGTCTCATTTACTTGTTGCATTTACATTTGTGCAATTTACATTCCTACAGACATACTAGAGATCATATCACCTTAGGATTGCTAAACTAGACTTAGAAAGTGTGATTTACTTTCCTAGTGATAGACTTGAGCCACTTTCACCCTAGGATTGCAAAACTTAACTTAGTTGCTTAGTTAGACTTGTTCCTCACCAAGCCTAACAATTTAGGTTAGTTTTGATTAGGTGTCATTTAATTTTAAATCGTCTATTCACCCCCCTCTAATCGATATCTCGATCCTACAATCTCGCACAATGAGAAGGGGATGACTCATGAGGGGTGGCCTTTGCTTGCTGACGACCAAGAAAGATCAAGCAACAGTGACGCTCAGATCCAGAAGTCCGTGGAATTCAGGGTCGATGGTGTCCTCCATCTTCCTTTTTTTTTTCGAACACGCAAAAAAATTGCACGTCAATATATTAGCAGAAAAAGAGTTTTTGTTACCCAAAGCAATCAGCTAGACTGGCTTATGCCTAAAAAGGGAGGGGGGAGTTGAAGCTAGGAACTACTACGACGGTTGTGTCCTCCATCTTCCCAATATCGTCTTTTACCACCCCCTCCCCCCACCCAAATGGTAGGCGTCACTATCGCGTGTACCAGACGCCAGCAACTAAGAGGCAGGAGACGGAAGCAGGGAGGCGCAGCAGGGACGGGTGGTGATTGGTGAATTGCTGGCGAAACCAACCGAGGCAAGGTCAATGGACGATGCCAATGTAGTGTTTGTACTTTGCAGTGTTATTTCTTTTTTTTCTTTTTATTGCGCTCTACCTCTACCACATTGAATAAGGTGATAGAAAGTTCAAGAACATTGTGTTTTGTTGTTTTTACCAATTCGATCGAGCTATCCCCTCCTACATAGATGGTACTTACTTGTTTTAGTGGATCAAAGCATGTACAATAGCATACTATAAGCTAGCTATAAACAAATATTGAGAAGATAAAGGAGGGAAAAGAAGAGCAGTAGGCTACATATTTGTAGCCAGCTGCAACACGGACTCCAAAGCGCAATGTGTGTATGACACGTGAGACCAGATATTAATAGTGTAGTATATGTTTGTAGATAACTATTGTATGAATTAGCTATTAAATTGGTTTAGATGATTTGGACTTAGTTGCTCTCAATCAATTGACGTTTGGGGGTTTTACTTTTCACATAGGGTGTGTTTAGATAATAGAAAATGGGGGGTGTGATCGTGATTAGGAAATAAATAAAAGGTTAAGATTAACTGGACGAGGAAAACGAATAGTTACGGTTTAAACTTTAAAGATGTGTTTTGGTGGGTGGAAAATCATTTCCCTATCCATTAGCCAAACCCTGTCGGATCAATTTTTTTTAATAAAGTTAAGTTATATAGTGCTTTCAAGGGGTGGTGCTGGCCTGGCCCAGAAAGTCCAACACGTGGCAGGGAAAGGGTGTCTCTCTCCACCGCCTTGGGGCCACGTTTTAGAGGAAGGAAGCCCATTGAAGCACGGCATCTAGTATCTTGTTGTTGGAAGAAAAGCCCTTTCTCTCTCTCTCATTCTTGTGTTTCTTCTCGATCGATCTCTCGATTTCTCTCTGTGCACCAGCATCAGCTATGGTGTCCGACGCCAGCAAGAAGAAGGCGGCGCAGAAGAAGGCCGCCGCCGCTGCCAAGAGGGGTGACAAGGCCAAGGCCGCCATTACTCTCTCCGAGCGCACCTGCACCGCCGTCCTCACCTCCCATCCCCTCTCCCGCGACATCCACGTACCACTATTTTTCTATTTCTTCCATCCCCACCCCCCGCCCCTATCTATTTATCTCCCCCTAAGTAACTAATTAATCCATCTTTGTCTCGCAGATCGAGTCCCTCTCCCTCACATTCCACGGCCATGACCTGCTTCTTGACACCGACCTGGAGCTCAACTACGGCAGGTAATCTTTATTATTTTTTTCATCAATCAATCAATCCATCATCTGTAAGTAAGTACTAGTACTATAGAGACCATTCATCTCGTCTCTTAGGCGATATGGTTTGCTTGGCTTAAACGGCTGTGGAAAGTCCTGTCTCCTCAAAGCTATAGGATGCCGGGAGCTTCCTATCCCTCCACACATGGACATCTATCATCTCACCCATGAGATCGAGGCTTCCGACATGTCTGCGCTACAAGCTGTCATCAGCTGTGACGAACAGAGACTCCAGCTCGAGAAGGAGGCTGAAATCTTGGCCGCTCAAGTATGTTTATTTTACTTCCCTTCCTTCTTACCATCCCATTCCCACCAATAATGTCTGTCTTAGGCCCTGTTTCTTTCAGCTTAAGATTATTATAATCTAGATTATTGAGTCAGATTACTATAAGCTAGATTGTTATAATCTATAGTAGAATAAACGGTTAGTTGTTTCTTTCCTAGATTATTAGAGCCTAGATTATTGGGTTTGCAAGTCTAAAGAGGGAGTGGGGTGGCATGGTGGGTAATTTTTCACCCAATAATCTGGAAAAAGCTCACCTAAATGAGCTTATCAGATTATAATAAGCTGGGCTCCAGATTATAATAAGCTACTTCAATAAGTTGTCCGTTTCTTTCAGCTTACTCCCAATAATCTAGATTATAATAATCCAAAGCTGAAAGAAACAGGGCCTTAGGTGGTGTTTGGATGAGAGGGGACTAATGTTAGTCCCTGTCATATGCACTAATTAGGAGTATTAAAAATAGACTAATAATAAAACTAATTGCATAAACGAGGGCTAATTCGTGAGACGAATTTTTTTAAGCCTAATTAAGCCATAATTAGCACATGTTTAATTAGGCTCAATAGATTCGTCTCACGAATTAGTCTAGGGTTATGGAATGGGTTTTGTCCTTAGTTAAGTTTAATACTTCTAATTAGTGTCCCAACCTCCGATGTGATGGGGACTAAAATGTCACCCTGCATCCAAACACCACCTTACTCTTCTTCTGCTGGACTACTAGTTTTATTATACCTATATATAGTTTTTTTTTCACCGTGTCCCCATTTCTGAGGATTTCCCTTCCTGACGTATGCCTCTGCTGATTGAATTACTAAGGATGACGGTGGCGGCGAAGCCCTGGACCGCGTTTATGAACGCTTAGAAGCCATCGACGCATCCACCGCTGAAAAGCGTGCTGCAGAGATTTTGTTTGGCTTGGGTTTTAACAAGCACATGCAGGCAAAGAAAACCTGTGATTTCTCTGGCGGTTGGCGCATGAGGATCGCTTTGGCTAGGGCGCTCTTCATGAATCCAACTATCCTTTTGCTTGATGAGCCCACCAATCATCTAGGTGAGTCTCTTGAGTTACCATCTTCCAAAGCCAGTTTAATCGTTTGCAATGCATCGACAACCAATTCACTTAGAGTGGGTGGGATCAAATTGCACCTGTTTGAACTATACTTCTTTTTTCCATCAGATGATATAAATATTTTTTACATTATGGTCTTAGGCATCAGCGCTAGTTAATGTGCAGCGTGATGAAACAACATGCAAATCAGCATTCATTTGTTTGGCATGTAGGCTACATATTTGATATTTCTACTTTATTTGTTTCATGTACTGGTGCATATGAAAAAAAGTCTGAAGTGCCTCATGTATATTATTGAGTGAATATATGCTGTGTGTTAACTTCTAGTTGCATGTAAACAGGGAAAGCATTACCATTACCATTATGGCTTTGTGTTATGCTACAAGCTAGAAGCAACTACATGAAATCTTGTGTTGTCTGCTTTCCATTACCATGAACCTAGATTGTGACTGGTCCATACTACTATATACATCCGACAAATTTGGGTTTGAATTCCTGGATTTATTTTGCATCGAACTTCCCAGAAATGTGTTAAACTCATTTTAAAAAAAAATATTGCTGGTTTTCATTATGTGAACCATTTATTCATCTGTCCTGTCTGGCTTAACAATGTTGTTTGCTTAACCATATATATATTCAGTATAACTATGGTTTCTGTGAATTGTTTGCTGCCACATTGTTTCTGAATAATGTTTAGCACTAGGCTACCATGTGACTTATATTATTTCAGATTTATCAGAGATATGGATGCTCTGTTCAGGATAGATCAAAAGATCTCTGATGCATGGTTCCTATGAAGTTTTCTGGCCCTGAAATGTGCTTTTTTCTTGATTAATATTAGCAATCCATTGCCACTGTTTGCAGATCTTGAGGCCTGTGTCTGGCTGGAGGAAACCTTGAAGAAATTTGACCGTATACTTGTCGTCATATCACACTCCCAGGACTTCCTAAATGGAGTATGTACAAATATCATCCACATGCAAAACAGGAAGCTCAAGCTATACACTGGCAACTATGACCAGTATGTCCAAACACGAGCCGAGCTTGAAGAAAATCAAATGAAACAATACAGATGGGAGCAGGACCAGATTGCCTCGATGAAGGAGTACATTGCACGGTTTGGTCACGGATCTGCCAAGCTGGCCCGACAGGCTCAAAGTAAAGAGAAAACTCTTGCTAAGATGGAGCGTGGTGGGCTCACGGAGAAGGTTGTAAGGGATAAGGTATTGACGTTCCGCTTCACTGATGTTGGCACGCTACCACCTCCAGTGCTGCAGTTTGTGGAGGTCACATTTGGGTACACACCAGACAACCTGATCTACAAGAACCTAGATTTTGGTGTTGACCTTGACTCAAGGGTGGCGCTGGTTGGTCCTAATGGGGCTGGGAAGAGTACGCTCCTTAAACTCATGACAGGTGATCTCATACCGCTGGACGGCATGGTGAGGCGACACAACCATCTCAGGATCGCACAATTCCACCAGCACCTTGCAGAGAAGCTGGACCTGGACATGTCAGCTCTGCAGTACATGATGAAGGAATACCCAGGGAACGAGGAGGAGAGGATGAGGGCAGCCATCGGCAAGTTTGGGTTGTCAGGGAAGGCACAGGTAATGCCAATGAGGAACCTGTCGGACGGGCAGAGGAGCAGAGTGATATTTGCATGGTTGGCGTGGAGGGAGCCACACATGCTGCTGCTGGATGAGCCAACGAACCATCTGGACATTGAAACAATCGACTCTCTTGCAGAGGCGCTGAATGAATGGGATGGAGGGCTTGTGCTGGTGAGCCATGACTTCAGGCTGATCAACCAAGTGGCGCAGGAGATATGGGTGTGCGAAAAGCAGGCGGTGACCAGGTGGGAAGGTGACATCATGGAGTTCAAGGAGCACCTGAGGAGCAAGGCCGGAGTGGACGATTGAGTTGAGTTGAGTTGAGTAGTTTTGATCTTGCTGCCTGGCCCGGAGAGGAGATACCATCACTCTGCTAGTTACTAGTATTTCTTCGGCTGTTACTAAACTATACTGCCCAGCCTAACGGGGACGACGACTGCATCATCATCTCTTGATCTCTCTCTCTTAGTTAAGTTGGATGCTTGTCACGGATGTTTGTACCTGATCTCCATCAACTACATCTGATGCTATAGCCCATATGGTACCACTACTGTGTTTATTATCTATATTCGTCTTGTTGCAAGCTTGGTAGTAACTATATATACTTGACGCTCTTGCTGCTCTTCCATTTGCAGCAGATGTACCGTCCTCTTCTTGGGGTCTCTGGAGAATGAGGAAACAGCAAGATCCAGCCAGCATAGCATGTATGTATAGTGTAATTAGCTGGTTTGTTGGCGGTGCACATGCATAAGATATACTTCCTCCGTTTCATATTATAATACTATCTATTATTGCCCACATTCATATATATGTCTAGATTCATTAGCATCTATATGAATGTGGGCAATGATAGAAAGTCTTATAATATGAAACGGAGGGAGTATTATCTTGGTTTGCACTTGCATGATCACCTGCTGTAGTTATTATTATCAGTGACCAAGTTCCCCTAGCTAGCAGTAGCACTCCATGAAAAGATATCTACATGAAACTGTACCACCCCCACGATATTATATATGAGATTGGATTTTAAACTCTTGAGGGGATGTCTCATCGTTGCTTGTATGTTAAATTGAGAAGATGTATTAACATGTGATATATCTTATTATAAGCATTCAACTTAAAATTTAACTTCTACATGTCGCAACGAAAAAACAAATTTGACTGTGAATATATGTTAACTAGTTGTAGACATGTAGTAGTTTAATTTGTTTTTTTCGATATGTAGGAGTTGGATTTTAAATTGCATGTTAATTTGTTTTTTTCGATATGTAGGAGTTGGATTTTAAGTTGCATGTTTGTGAAGTAATACATCACACATTAATACATATTGTCATTTTTTTTAATTTTTTCCATAACTATTTGGGTGACACGCAAACAATGAGGGACATTCCCTCGAGAGTTTAGAATAGTTCCCTATTATATATACTTGGATCGATACCTATATATGATTTGTTCTTAGTAATGATGGTCCATTATTAATTGAAAGCTTGGATGACAAGGTTTAGCCCAAATGAGGAAAATTAAATCGGTGAATTAAACAGAATATCTAGATCGAACCTCTATTCTATATAGCCTATTTTTATTATAACAAAGAAAGTGAAAGGGCGGTATTTTAAGGTCTCATTTAGATGCGAGATTCCTAAATTTTGTGGGGATTGGACCGATTCCTTCAAATGTGCTGTAGATATCCCACGAGAAAAGAACCAAATTAACCTACTAAATAGCCTGGATTTTTACTACTACTGGAGAAAAACAAATCACTAGATTGAATCCATAATAAACAAGAAATTGCAGTGGTGGATATTAACATGCAAAAGTAGGAGCATACACTTGTTTCTTTCATGAAAAGTGTAGATTTTTCATGATGGGATGTTGAGAACCATAATAAGATTACGCCAGCATGGAATTTGAAGCTAAAACAAAGGGAAAGGGAAAAAAAGTATCAGACAGACAGACAGAACTGATATAAATTTAACCAGATGGAAACGAAATGCATCTCTGACCTCACAGAAATTATGTATTTGGGGACGGCCATATATAATACTCTCTCCGTTTCACCGTTTCACAATGTAAGATGTCTAGATTCATTAGTATCAATATGAATGTGAAAAATGCTAGGATGTTTTACATTGTGAAACGGAGGGAGTAACAAGGATGAAGATGATGAACAACTAATGTATGGTCTTTGAATAGCAGAGGAGCTTACCTTTGAAAAGAAAAAAAGGCGCTTGTCTGCGGATGCAGCATCATCAAGATTCTCAGCCAAATCGGATGTATATGTGCGTCTTGTGATATATGCATGGATGTGAATCTTGATGATGCCACGCCCGCAAACACCGACTCTACCGTTCCATCCATGGATTTACTGTACTACTGAGCATTGTTCGTATCTTCTACTCCAGAGTACAGTAAATTCAAGAGATGCATTGGACACAAGGGAGAAGGGAGAGATTTGCTCTTCTCTAGCCTCTTCTAGCTAGGGGTTTACTCCAATTTGCATTGCAGGTAGACGAGAGAGCACTGTCATACTATATAGGAGTACATCTGTCAGAAGTAGATCGAGTTAATTAAAGGAGCTTAATGGTAGTCTACGTGGCACAGTTGGCAGCGCCAGCAAGTGCACGAAGATGAAAGTGATATAATATATAGTAATATACACCCTCTGTCAAAAAAAGAAATTAAATTCTGGGTTTGAATTTGGATATACACTATGTCCAGATTTAAATCTAGAGTTAGGTTTTTTTTGGAACGGAGGGAGTACTACTTATATTATTAACTACTACGACTAGTATAACTAGCCAATTAACCACTAAAGTAGAGTACTTTGTGTTAATTGGCCGGAGTTACAAATATGGGCAAGTTGGTAAAACCGTAAAAGGAAAAGCTGCTGCTTGGCCACCTGATGACGTCCCCGCACAACCTAGCCAAAATGCAACAGCCTTTTCCTGCAGATCAATGGCTTTACTTTTCCATTGTCCGTTTTGCAGATCGATGACTTGGCTGTGTTCGGGAGGCACCCGACACGGAAAACCAAGCACGGATTATAGTGAAATTAATTAGTATAAGCTTAAAAAAACTTGAAAAATGGATTAATATGATCTCATCTCAAAACTTTAGAGCCTGTTCACTTCGGTGCCATTTTCAACCATATCATTTTTTTTAAAGTTGTCAAAAAAATATCACGTTTAGTTGTTGTCAAATTTGATAAATACATAAAAAATCATGCCAAAATTTGGTAAGGTTTATTTTAGCTACAATCTAAACATACTCTTATATCTTGTCACATCGAACGTTTGAACACCTGTATAAAGTATTAAATATAGGCTAAAAAGTAACTAATTACACATATTGCGAATAATTTGCTAGATGAATCTTTTAAGCCTAATTGCTCTATGATTTGATAATGTGGTGCTACAATAAACATTTGCTAATGATGGATTAATTAGACTTAATAAATTCGTCTCGCAGTTCACTAACGGATTATGTAATTAGGTTTTTTGTTAGTGCCCAAACATCATATGAAAAAGTTTTTTATTAATACCCAAACACCATATGGAAAACCGTATACCTTTATCATTATGCTAGCCAGGCTAGCACATCTCAAGTTTATTGTTTACACATTTTATCATCACTTATCTATAGGTATATATGATGCATATCTCAAAATATAGTTTCTCCGCCTATATTTCCTACTCAATAAATTATAATGTTTTTTTCCAATTAATTTTACTTACTTTTAATATTCGTATCTAAGATTAAAATTTAGCGAAGGTGGTACCAAAAATATGTCGGCGAGCACTAGCTCGTACTACCTCCGTCCTAAAAAAATTGTATTTCTAGCTCTAAGGCTTTGTCCCACAAAAATTATATTTCTAGCCATGAGGGGCTCAACAAATTGATTCATCTAGATAAGTTTCCTTAAGTTCTCTCAGCTTGTAATTTAAGTATGCTAATTATATGGGTTAATTCTCTCAAACTTCTTTTTAATCATTTGTATATATGGAATGTGTGCATGCAATGGGTTAAGGTCATTGTGGTCATTTTCCAATTCTACTGTTTTGTCCTAAATTAGCTAGAAATGTAATTTTTATGGGACGGAGGGAGTAGCTATTGTTTGCACCATAATTTAGCTTATAGTTAGTGCATTTGTGCAGGCCAGATTGTTTTAGAATAAAATGATAAAACTGTCAAATGATTTAAATACTCAGTTTGCAGGTGCAGGAATTTGTGATGCACTAAGAGATCGTGTGTGCAAACTGTTGGGTGTGGCTGCAGCAATTAACCTGGTTTGGTGACATGTAATCAGAGGTGTGTTGCAAGTAGTAGTCCACATAGGGTCAGTGTGCAGCTTACATGCAGGAAAGCATCCGGATCCTTTGTGGAGGAATAGGCTACAGGAGGCCACAAGGTGTCGTGGATTATAGAAGATCATTGATTGATTGCATGCAGTATACCAGTCCGGAATCCGGATAGGAAGGAACGATAGCAGAAAAAGGAGATCGTTGATGCAGCCTGTGGTGCTTATAAAGTCAGTCCCTGCGTCGGCAGAAAGGAAGCCCGAACAATCTATCAATCTATTATTTTCCTCGTTCTTTACTTTTCCGTTATTTTCTATTTTGCTTTTATGGCTGAATTCTAGCAATCCTAGGATTTGGTTAATCTTTACCGTTTTGCGTTGAAAAACGGTCGTGCTTCTCCACGAAAGCGAGGAGGTAATCCTTTGCTAGTTTGCTCGAAAACTAGTCGTTCGTCGTCACGTAAGTACGATATTTATCCTCTTTGCTAATTTGCTTGTAAATTAGTCGCTTGATTCCGCGAAAGTGAATTAATCTCGAAATCGGTTTCACTAGCCGATTTTTGATCTATCGATTTGGGCGACTCCGTTGATTACACCTGTCGGTGACATGGGATCAGGAGTATCATGACTAGAGGTTTGAGGCAGACACAATCGCACACGTGGCCTGGTACCCCCGAGGGACGTCGGGCCCGAGGGTGATGCGTTCGCCCTCCTCTTAGTCCCCCCGAGGGGGTCGGGCCACACCCCCCTCGGCCCCGAGGGCCGAGGCGCCCCGACCCCTCGTGGGTTTTTGCTCCGCGTGTATGGGTTGGCTCACCTAACCACATTTATTGCGGTTTGGCTGAGCGTGTCACACCGCATGTAACGCAGTGCAGTGCACTCGTTTATCCGGTCTGTGACCAGTCACAGACCGGTCAGATCGCGGGTTAGGTGGCGACAGGCGATCTGACGCACGCCTCGCCCCATCCCGTCAGGACGAGGGCTTCTAGGCGCTCGTCCCCAGCTGGAGCTAGCGTGTTACCTCCCAGAGATGGCACGTTAGTCCTGGTCAGATATATACCAGGCTTCATCCTAAACCATTACAGGCAAGATGTTGTGTGAAGAAGGGCGAGCATGTAGATTGCTAAGCTGACACGTGGTGGACAAGAATGACCGACGTGACTGGTCTGATACCGGTCATGTCGTCAGCAGACAGCCACGATTCCACGTCGCACCTGCTCCCGGCGAAAGTGGAGGTAGTTGTGGGCCGTCTCATCAGAAGGTGACTCGGACGGCAACTATACAAATCTCCGTCCATTTATGAAAAGGGGGGGGGTAAGTCCCCACAAAAAAAGAGAGAAATGGTGCATGTGGTATCCCCTTAAGATATAAAAGGAGGACCTTGCCCACTGAGAGGGGGGACTGGACTTTTCCAGATTAGAAACCCAGAACAAGGGAGAGGCTGGCTGATACTTTGTAGCTCCTTCATACACAGATCTCCCAAAACACAGGAGTAGGGTATTACGCTTCTCAGCGGCCCGAACCTGTATACATCGCCCGTGTCTTGTGTGTTTCCTGTCTCGCGAGCCTTCCACATACAGAGAGCTTAGAATCTCTCCCTGAGTCCCCGGCCGAACCGGCAAAGGGGGGCCTGCGCGGTCTCCCGGTGAGGAGCCCCACGCTCCGTCATCTGGCGTGCCAGGTAGGGGGCTCTGCGAGGGATTTTCTGAGCTCTCGCACTCTTTCGTGTGCGCCAAGCTTTTCCTGTTCAGCCCAATGGCCGAGCCAGCAAAGGCGCACGACCTCTCCCCGAGTATGAGCGGTGACGACGGGGAGCCAAACCCACGCCGTC